GGTCGTGTCGCCCGTGCTCGCCATGATGGTCCTCGATGCAGAGTAAGCGATGAATACGACATGTTTTTGCATGCAGCGCAACTCGATATCCAGTCATTGCATGCAACGTACAGCAGCAACATGCTCTAGATTCCCGATAGATGCCTCGATTCTGGCATACTCTCAGTCATGCACGAGCCACCGCACTCAACCCATACCACCACCTCATACCACGCAACCAACCCTATCCCTTGTCGCCATCGTTTCGAAACTCGAGTTCGTTCTGGCCTTGCTGTGTGCCCGACGGCTCGCAGAGCGACTGCCCAGAGCGACAGCGCGGCAACGTGCTCTGGGACTGTGCAACGTCGATTCTGCATCGTGCATTTTACACTTTGACACCTTTACACGCGAAAAAACCAGCGATTTCATTTCTCATTTTGCAGGGGTCCGCACCGCCGCCGGGTCGGGGTAGCCTTCGTGCTACGTCGGGGTGAGGAGATCGCAGCATTCGGCCCACAGGCTCTGCCATCCTTACCGGCGGACGTCGCTCGCTTGCGCTGGTTTAGGCGTTTAGGAGCGTAGCACAGTCTAGTCGTGTAGCAAAGTAGCAAAGTAGCATCGCAGCGCCCATCCATCATCGCATTCACTCGTTTGCATCCAACACATACCTCCATGCAGTAGTACTCGTTTCTCGACGACGATGGCGACAACAGCGACTCGTTGCTGCTCGCACCCTTGCAGCGCCGCAAGCAACTTGGCTTGACGATCGCGCGTCGAGGTTGTAGGCCGCGAGCTGCGCCGCCGACGCACCTCTGGGTGGTAGTGCATAACTAAGGCTAAGCTCGACGACGTTGGTGTCTTGGGCATCTCTAGCCTCGCCAGCGAGACAGACGTGCGATGTGCTCAGCATTCAGCGATCAATGTTTCGGTGTTGAAGTTAGGAAAAAAGGAGCCAAAGAGCGGGAGCAAGTGCGAGTCCGAGGCTGCTGTGGGCGGTTAGTGCGCGACTGCACCCACAACGCTCGACCGCGATACGCGACACGTTGACCTGTCCGTTCCAGTAGCCCGAGATCTTGGCCGCCGGGTCAAAAAAGTGACCTGGAGAACAGGGTGCGTCGCTGCTACAGGAGAAACGACGTCATACCTGGAGGCGTGTAGACGCCGTCGCAGTCGCTGTACATGGTGTTGATGAGCGGCTGGCACTTGGCGGGGCACTTGTTGTACGTTGGGTCGCAGCTCATGCATGAGCCGGGCGTGGACCCATCGCCTTGGGCTGCAACCGCCAACACTGCCGACGAGCACGGCGCCCACGACTTGCCTTCGGGCGTCGGGTTGGGAAACGTATCGGTCGCGCCCACACGTAGGAGTAGTCCGAGAAGGAAGACGATGGCAACGCCGGTCGCCATTGCGCTATCCAAGCTCTTGGTGCTATTTATATGCCGTATCGATGCATGCAACGACCCTGTGTAGCAGGGCAGCGAACGCTCACTGCTACGACGTATGGGTCGCTACGACGCAATCGTGATGGCGTCATAGCTGTGACTGCCTTCAGCTTGCACAGTCCAGGACTTTTTCAAAGGCAGACGGTGACGCACAGCCGCAAAGGAGGCAGGCAAAGCGTACAGCGCTGCCAAATGCAATTCAGAGACGCGCTGCCGCCGTGGGTAGCCAGCCATACAACTGCACAGGTGCGCGGTGTGGTGACTTCAGGCCTTTTAACTTGATCCTCAGCGACGCGTCACAAGTGCGTAGCCTCCTCTCCGAGGCGAGAGCCCCATCTCGCGTCGGTTCCGCCAACAGAACTTGCAGCAACGTTGGATGGACGCTGTCAGTGCGGACAAAGGAATTCCTGAGCGCACCCTTTGACTCCCCTCCTCCAGTCCGCTATTGTTGCACCCGAGCTGGCAACCGATGAGAGGGCTGAATATCGGTCGGCGATCGAAAAGCTGTGCCGTGTTGGACCTAGGGGAAGCAAGGGCGCCATCTTGAACTGCTTTGCCGAGCCGCCATTTCTCGCCCAAGATGGCGGCGCAACCAACTCGCGTATTATAGCGACCGATGGGTGCAACCGCCAAGATCCACGACGAAGCAGACGAGCTCATTTGCGAATTGCTCGTCAAGCTCCAATCCTCTCAACCACTCAACGCCCTTTCGACCCACTCGTCAGTCCCTTCTTGGACGGCGCGGGCTCCAACGTCTCCCCATACACTTGCGTTGATAGCTTTAGGTCGAATGTGAGAACTAGCCGCCTGATAGATGATGGCACAGATGCGTCTCCGGAGTAATTAGACCCGTGCAAGAACTTATAGCTTTGCGCACTCGCTAGCCGCTTGATACGTTTTAGCTGGCTGTGACCTAAATAGCTAGACGGGGTGCCCCGCTCGGGCCATTCACAAAGATAGGAATCTATTTGGATGAGGAGTCAGCAACTGCAGTCGAGCTTTTCATTCCCAAAAAGTCCATGGACAAAGACGAAGGCGACTGGATCCTTCTCGACACGGTGCTCGCGGCCGATTGGCTCGTGTACAAAGGCGCCCAGCTTCCAACGACGCGCATGGCGCGCAGCAACCACGACCAAAGGTGCAAAGTGTGTCGCTTTGACGATCACAGCATGTCGCGCGTCTACACGGACTGCCGCAATCGCCCGTGCATGGAGGCCAACGGCTATTGCGAAGCCCGATACCTCTACCTCGTCTGCAACGAAACGCGAACCGTCGACGTCTACCGCATGGGGAATCACACTGCCCGCGGTACGCCGGACGACAGAGAGGCCGGGCCCGACGCACTCATGCATCCATCACCTCGGGTAACCCTTCGATCATCGAATAGGTTCTTATTCGAGTCTTGCTCGCGGTAGATGACGCCGGTGGTCCGCGCCCTCTTTGTCGAGATGGCGTCGGCAGACCCGGCTCGCCGGCCGATCGACATTTATCGCGAACTCGAAGAGCGGCGTCTCGAGTTCAACAACATTCTTCCGCGATTGCAGTCGGTTCAGAGTCTTGTGTCACGGCTGCGCAAAGCAATGACCAGTGACAGCGACCGCCCAGCCGCAGTGGACGACCGCCGCAGACGACGGGCGCGCCGACTACCCCAACGACCAACTGCACCAGCCAATGAAGCCCGACCGTGCACGTGTGCCATCAAGGAGTACCGGCCTCCCGTAGTGGTGTCTACTATGTGTGAAACACCTCGTACATTCAACTCACCAGTCCTTCTTTGATCACTTGAACCTGCGAGCATCTGCAGCGTGAACCTTCCCCCCGGCATGACATGGTATTTGACTTGATGTCAAGTTGATACATTGAAACTTCTCTAAGGCACACACGGGCCACAGGCAGATTCCTCGCAAAAGCATGCAGCCATCCGAGGACGCTTCTTGGTCGTCCGTGTGTGCTTACGAGCAACCGACTTTCCATGACAAAGCTGTACAAAACCAAGCACACTCGTGTTTGAAAAGGCTTAATAACTGCGGCCCCACAAGATCCAGCACTTGGCGTCCTTGCCCGAGACAAAGCACTTGGTGCCGGGCTCGATCGGCATCTCGTTGTTCTCGAACGGCATGCACAGGCTCTTGGCCGCAACGCTCGTCGCCGTGTTGTCGGCCTCACCGTCTTCGCCGAGGATCGCGAGCGACTCTTCGCGGCTGCGCGTCTTGACAACCTCCTCCCACTCGATTTCGTTGCAGAACGGCGTGAGCACCATGCAGCCGTCGGCAATGGTCTTGACAAAGTCCGACCACTGCGTCACGATGCGGATGCAGTTGTCGCGCTCCTTGCGCGCGCGCTCGAGCATCTCCTTCTGGATCGTCTCGAGGAGCGCCGGGAGCTTCGTCTTGAGATCCGCAAACGCAATGTCGATCTTCTCGTTCGTGTCGCGACGCACGACGCGGACCTGCTGCTTGAGGATGTCCTTGGGGCCGAGCTCGAGGCGGAGCGGCACGCCCTTGAGCTCCCAGTGGTTGTACTTCCAGCCGGGCGTGTACAGGCGGCGGTGGTCGACTTCACCGCGGATGCCCGCCTCCTGGAGGTACGCGAGGACTTCGTCACCCTTGTCGTGGATCTTGTCCGTCTCGTCCTTGTCCGTGACAGGGATCGGGATGATGACGGCCTGAAGCGGCGCGACGCGGGGCGGAAGCACGAGACCCTTGTCGTCGCCGTGGATCATAATCATGACGCCGATCGAGCGCGTCGTAAAGCCCCACGAGTTCTGGTACGGGATGAGCTTCTGGCCCTGGTCGTCTTCGGCCGAGATGCCAAACATCTTGCCAAAGTTCTGGCCGAGGTGGTGCGACGTCGCGGCTTGGATCCCGCGGCCCGTCGACGGAATGAAGCCCTCGATCGTCGTCGTGTAGTCGGCGCCGGCAAACTTTTCCTTCTCCGACTTCTTGCCCTTGATCATGGGCACGGCGAGGAGCTCCTCGTACGCGCCGGCGTAAAACTCGAGGATCTGCATGACCTCCTTCGCGGCGCCTTCCTTGGTCGCGTGGGCCGTGTGGCCTTCCTGCCACAAGAACTCGCGCGTGCGGATGAACGGCGTCGGGTTCTTGAACTCCCAGCGGACGACGTTGCACCACTGGTTGAGGCGCACGGGCAAGTCGCGGTGGCTGCGGATCCAGCTCTTGAAGGCCGGGTACATGATGGTCTCGGACGTCGGGCGGATCGCAATGGGCTCCTTGAGGTCGGCGTCACCCGACTTGGTGACCCAAGCGACTTCGGGGGCAAAGCCTTCCAAGTGGTCCTTCTCGCGGTTGAGCTTCTCGCTCGTGACAAACATGGGGAAGTAGCAGTTCTTGACGCCAATCGACTTGAACTTGGCGTCCAAGTACGCCTGGATGTGCTCCCAGATCTCGTACGACCACGGGCGCAAGATGTAGCAGCCCGAGATGTCATAGTAGTCGATCATCTGCGACTTGGTGATGACGTCCGTGTACCAGTCGGCAAAGTTCTCCTTCTTCGCCCAGACCATGCCCTCCTTGGACTTGGAGTCCTTCTCCATCTTCTGGGGCTTGGCAGCCGGCGCCTTGGCACCCTTCGCCGCCTTCGCCGGCTTGGGGCCGGCGCGCGGCGACGTGGCCTCCTTGACCGAGACGGTGAAGTCGACGATCAGCGGCTCGTGGTTGTAGTGGCGCACAAACTTGAGCAGATCCTCAGGTGTCAGCGAGACCGTCTTGTCGTTCTGGAGCGGGTGGCAGTTGATCTTGGTCGCCTTGAGGAGCGACGCGTCGAGCACGAGCTTGACCTGGTTCTCCGTGTCGTTCATGACGGCGAGCGGCGAGACCGAGCCCTGCTTGACCTTGAGCGTCTCGTGGAGCACGTCCTCGGACGCGAAGCGCAGGTTGACCTTGTTGCTCACGAGCTGCATCTTCTTGGCGAGCGTCTTGACCTCGACGGTCTGGGTCGCGGCCGCGCAGATGAGGAAGATCCCTTCCTTCTTGTCCTTGAGGACGAGGTTCTTGGTGAGGACGCCCGGCAGATGGCCGACGACGGCCGCCTGCTCCTCGACCGTGAAGGCGGCCACGTGGTCGACGTTCTCATGCGCAATCTTGAGCGCCGCAAAGGCCGCGGCAATGTGCTCGGCCATCGTTTTGGTTTCCGGCGAAATCTCCAAATGCGCTCCGGCCACACAGTTCCCTTTCGTATCCGGACGACCAATCGGGTCGGCTCGTTGCTTGAAATGCACCAATCACTTGTCGATACGCGTGCTTGCATCCATTGGATTGGCCAACAGCAACGTATCAGATGCTTGCTGAATTGAGTTTGGTGTTGAGTTGCAAACTTCAAGGCGGGGAAATTTTTCGTGGCACCCTCCATCGTTCCGCAGCGATGGAGGGCGATGGACCAACATCCAGGCCGATAGAAGCACTGTCGCTCCAGTTGTCGGCTGTCCATGAACCATGCAACCGAAGGCTGCGTCGCTCGGAGCGCTCGTGGAAGCCTCCGACGCATCGACGGTTGCTTGGGCGACATGCTGGGAAGCAACAGGGCGCCATGAGCTTGCGACCGCGTTGTCCTCGATAATAGATCCCTCAACTAGTTTCTTGAATTCTTATTGTCGAAAGCTGTGGCGCGGAAGGAGGACCAACCGAGATTGCACTTTGCGGCAGAATCCGACGTCGCTGTCGTGCCACGTGGAAGAGTAGCACAGCCACCCTTCCTGGGCTTCCTTTTGGACTGAGCGGCTTGCGCTCGCGGCTGCGTCATCAACACCGCCACGTCACGCACTTCGCACCTACCTCGTCCACCGCAGCGCCAAGCGCGCTGCTCGGAGCTCGGACCGGGCCTGACTGGCGCCACCAAGTTTCTCTTTCAGCGTGCAAAGATTCAGCGACCTTTGAGCGCTACTGGTCCTGCCAGTCGGTCGTCCAACCAGAGATGGCGTGTGCGGCCATGGACCAGAGACGCCAGTAGTGTCGTCCATCACATTCAAGCATCTGTTTTGCGTCTTGAGTTTCAGATCGCCATGAAACTCAAAAGTCGGCGAAAAAACTCAACTACAAAATTGCGATGATGCTGACCGTCACGGACGTCGGGGCGACGTACGTGCTCGTGCTGCTGCTCTTCCGCGCGCCGATGAGCGACATCCCATGGACGCACACGTACGTCCTACGCTACTCGCTCGTGGCAATCGCGAGCCTCCTGCTGATCCACGGCGCCTTTGGCACCATCTCGGACGAGTACTACTATGGGCTCGAGCTCTTCACCGTCTTCAACACGATCTCCGCGTACATCATGATCCTCCAGGGCAAGGCGTACCTGGACGAGGACCTGACTGAGAAGGTCGCCATCGTCACCGGCGCCAATGCCGGCATCGGCCTCGAGATCGCGCGCCAGCTCGCGCAAATGGGCGCGCACGTCATCTTTGGTCCATTGGCTGCCCACGCGATGCATGACCTCACCTTGTACATGTAGCCTGTCGGTCGAAGGAGCGTGCGGAAGACGCGATGAAGCAAGTTGCCGCGACCACAAGCTCGTCCAAGCTCGAGTTCATGGCGCTCGACGTCGGCAGCTTGGCGTCGGTCCGCGCTTTCGCAGACGACTTTCTCAAGTCGAAGCGAACCCTCGATATCCTCGTCAACAACGCAGGTGTGAACCACTACCGCCGCCAGTACGATACAACAGCGTTCTCAAGACTCGGAAGGCTCATGGCATGGTGGTAGAGAGACGGTCGATGGCTTTGAGGCGATGCTGGGCATCAACTTTCTCGGGCCGTTCCTTCTCACCAACCTCCTGCTGCCTGCTTTGCTCCGCGCCGACGACGGCCGCGTCGTGAACGTTGGCTCGTGCGTCATGAAGGTATCGTTCTTGCTGTGCGTTGGCCTCTCATATATCTCTCTGCCCCGGCAGTGGGCGACCAAGATCCCGTTCGAAGACTTGAACACCAAGCAAAACTACGGCACGGGCCAAGCCGTGTACAACTGGACCAAATGGGCCAACTACGTACTCACTCTCTCACGCCGGTATTCGCTCCAACGCTTTACGTAGCTCTTTACGCAAGAGCTGCACCGGCGCTACGCCAACACGGCGCTGACGGTACGTTCGCGCAGCACCGTCTTTGGCTGAGCGTGCCACAGGTCAACTGCGCGCACCCGGGGCTGGTCATCTCCAACATGCAGAAGAACATGCTCCCATTCTTGAACACGCTGGCGCATTGGTTCAACTGGCTGCGTCCGTTCCTGCAGCAGACTGGCGAGCAAGGTGCGTACACGCCCGTGTTTGCCGCGACGTGCCGCCACCTGACGGGCGGCCACTACCTCGCGCGGTCCGAGATCGAAGAGCTGCCAGCGCGCTTTGTGGATGCGGACTTGGCCAAGCGGCTCTGGGACGTGGCCTGCCCGCTGGTCGGCTTGCCCAGAGACTACTTTCCGACGCCGACACTCGACTAGCATGGACGACGGATGATGGATTAAATGGCAATATGCATTCTCTGCAGATATCATGTCAAGACGGGCTTGGGCCGCGTGTTGAAAATGAGCTTCTTCCGCGCAATGCCCACGACCGTATACGCTGCGCCGCCTACGCAACGCACCTCATGGGCCATGATGGTCCGATCTTCACATGACGCACCGTCTTTGCGCATGATGGCCATGGGCTTGGCGAGCTTGGCGGCTTTGCCTTCAAGGAGATGATTCCCGATAAGCAGCGTCGGCACGCCCTACACACGACGTGTCATGCTCGCGCTGGCAACGCGCCGCCGCACCTTCTTGTATTCGAGATGGCCAAGACCCAGTGAAGCCTTGGTCTCGCTAATGAGCTCACCTTGGAGCTCGATGATGGACCATTCGGGCTTGCCGTCTTCTCCAGCCAGTACACGCAGCGGGATCCGCATCGGTTCAAGCGCGTTCTGCCACCCGCAGCAACGGCAACAAAATGATACATACACTATTCAAAGAATACATCTCATGAAATGGTGTAAGCTAGAATCACCGTCCTAGCTCGTCTTCGATCCTGGTGAATGATGCATCCTCGCCATCGTACCAATGTCGCTCACTATGCAATAAAAGCTACAAGCATATATACATCAGTAGCTACGAGGGATAGGAGCGGGCTGTGACTTCAATGGTCTGGGGAGCATTGATGCTTTGGCAGGAAACTAGGCTCCATACAAAGACACTCCAGTAACCGAAGGCGCTCGCGCCGGGTGCGGTTTGGTGTGTGGCGCAGCAACAACTCTCACTCCAGTCACGAGAGCGTCAAAGCGTTTTAGAGAGGACTATAGAACTGTTTCTTGGGAGAACGTTATCAAGTCGAGTACAGTATTCGGTAAACCAACAGGGATGCTGGTTCCTAGTATGACCCGCAAGCTATGGCTTTGGTATCCCAAGAATGCGGTGAAGAGTCTCAGGCCTCCGATGAGAACCAGCCTGACCTGCAGAAGGATACGAAAAGGCAGAAGCGCAAAGCTGTGATTGCCAAACGTCGATCATCTATAACACTATTTCATGTGCACTGGTATCCGGATACGTACTCCGGACAGCTTCGAAAAACGATCTTTTGCCAAGCGGTTTTCATACTGGATGACAGTCGAGAATAAGAAAGGACGGACGCAGCAGCAGTATGGGCAACTCACCGAGCGTGCTCGAGAGCATTACGAGCTTCAGCGACATCAACGACGTGCAGAAGGCGCTGCAGGAGACGCCCGACAGCACGGCCATTGAGGTCGTCCAGGCCTTCCACGCCTGCGCGTACCTCGCGACGACGTGCCAGCGCCTCCAGTGCATCCTCGAGCTCTTCCTAAAGCACGGCGTCGACGTTAACGCGATGGACCCACAGCGTAACAACTGGACGATCCTGCACCACATGTTTGTCGCGCAAAAGACGTTCGTGCTGCCGTACTTGCTCTCGCGCGGCGCGCGGCCATCGCGGGACCTCAACGGCCTCGCGCCGCACGACTACCTCCACAAGTCCAAGCACGACCACTACGTGCGCGCCTATTTAGAGGCAACGACGTCCATCTTGAGCGAGAATCCGTCATGCGACCCAACGTTCAACGAGCCGTGCGTTGTGCAGATCGTGCACGACTGGAAGCGGGACACGCACGAGCTCGGCGAGCTTCTCCATGTCAAGTGCAAGGGTGGGCCCGGCTACGTGCAGCTCATCTACCACGAGAACGACTCGCCCGAAGGCCTCCAGGAAGAGGCTGTCTTTGACCAGTTCATCCAAGTCGAGAAGGAAAAGACCATCTCGTTCAGCACCGCGCATCTTCCGGCGCAAGCGGTCGTCCACGTGCTCTATGTCGCTTGTGACAAGCACATGATGCACCGGCAAGTGCAAGCGTCGGACGGACCGCTGAGCATCCAGGCGAATGTCGAAAAGTATGTCTTCACCGTGAACGGCGAGGCCTTCCACCACGCCAACCCGGTCCTCGACGGCATGGTGTTCCCAACGATGCGCGAATTCCAGCAGTTTATGAAAATGATGAAGTCGGACAAGCTCGACGCAGTGCGGTACGAAGACGAGCCAGTGTCCAACCAGGATGACACCGTGTCTGACGCAAGTCCATATGAGAGCGACATGACACCGGCAACGCCCAACCAAGATGGCGAAAAGCCCAGCGAATGCCGCCACGACGAGCTGCTCACAGACGGAGCGTCCTCCAACCAGCTCGAGTGCGACGTCTAGGCAAAACAAGTAGTAGGGTTCTATTAGTTGTCCGTGTCGTGAGTTTCATCCACACCCAAAAGCCCAAAAAAAATATTTTTTATACTTATCCCAAAACTTATTCCAAAAGACCACAAGCGACGTCGTCTCACGCTGTGCTCTCGGATTCCAAGATGGGATGAAAGGAACCAGGAGCAGTGTTGCGGAGTTACTCGACGGACTTGGGACCTAAATGTCGTCGTGGTGCGGCGTCTTGGGTGTCTTGGGGCGTGCGTCACCAGGACGCTCAAAGAGCATTTCAATGTCTTCGAGGAGAAGGCCTTTGGTCTCGGGGCACTTGAAGTACACAAAGGCGCCGGCGACCAAGCACAGCGCTGCAAAGAGGTAGAAGACGCCGTTGATGTTGAGGTACGGGAAGAGCTTGGGGATGCCAATCATGATGGCGCCCATCGCCCAGTTGGTCGTCGTCGAGATCGAGACGGCCTTGGCGCGCACGTTCATCGGAAAGATCTCGGCGGGATAGATCCAGCAAATCGGACCCCACGAAATCGCAAAGCTAAAGATGAACACCATCGTGAAGACCACCATGACCCAGCCCGCGCTCTTGGAGCAGCCCAATGAGACTGTGTCGCCGTTGCAGCCAATCGTAAATGCCGTCGCCGACACGACGTGGCCAATCACCATGCCGATGGCGCCGAGGAGGAGCAGCTTGCGGCGGCCGTGGTGGTCGACCCAGCGCATGGCCGGGATCGTTGAGAGAAAGTTGACGATTTGAATCATGAGGAGGCAGATGATGCCAAGACCAAGCACGTCCTTGAAGATTTGCCCGCCGTACGCAAAGACGGCGTTGACGCCCGTGCCTTGCTGCAACAGCTGCAGACCCATCGCGATGAGCACGCGGCGGCGCACGGACCGGTCGCGCCAGAGGTCCATCCACGTAGCCTGGGCTGACCCTTCCTCTTCGAGTACGTCGCCGATCGCGTTGAGCTCGTCGTGGATATCGTCGTTGCGGCGTAGCTGCTTGAGCATGATCGCCGCAGCGTCCCGACCGCGCGCCTTGTACGTCCAGCGCGGCGACTCGGGCACACAGAAAATCCCGGCCGTGACGATCACGGGAAAGAGGAGGCCGATGCCGACCGTGATACGCCAGCCTTGGCTCACGTCCTGAATGACCGCGTTGATGACGCCCGCGAGCAAAATGCCGGTCACGCACGCCATCTGCATGAGGCCTGAGAGCATGCCGCGGAGCTCCTTGGGCGCCATCTCGGCGGCGAAGATCGGGAGCGCAAACGTCGCGTTGCCAACACCAAAGCCCTGCACGAGGCGCGCAAGAAAGACTTGGGCGTGGGCGCTCGATGTGATGAGGAGGATGCCGCCGAGGCCATAAAAGACCGCCGACGAGCAGATGGTGATCCGGCGGCCGTACTTGTCGGCCGTGTAGCCGCCAACGATGGCGCCAAACATGCAGCCGACGTAGTAGAGCACGTTGTACAAGGTGGTAAAGTTGAGCCAATTGGGCGGGAGGTTGGCGCTCACTGCGTTGCAGGCAATGTCCGAGTTGCCGTCGTACCCGATGCAAAAGTCGGCGAGAAACGACGGCATGACCATGACACCGCCGGCGACACCGTTGTCGTAGCCAAAGAAGATGCCGCCGAGCGACGAGAAGGCACAGACGCCGACCGCATAGAGGTTCTGACTCAGCACGGATGAAGCCATGCGTCGGGCGAGCAAGTTGAAGAGTGCTTTCAGAAACAACGTTGCGAGCTTGGACGAGCGAGGTATGCGGATTCGATACCTCGTATCCGGAAGGTTGGACCGACGGGTGGGTACCTTCAAGCAGCGTGGGTTGCGATCGGGTGGCTGACGTGTTCGTCTCTCTTCCTGTGCAGAATATACGATTGCCATCTAGATCCTGGCTCTGCTACAGCCAAGCAAAGCCGAGAAGATGGGGCGCAGCTTTGTGGGCGGACGACATTGTTTTGAAGCTACCACGTCGTTGCGAGCAAAACGCGACCATTGCAGATCGGTGGTCGACGGCCTGCGACGGTGGACCAGCGACATGGACGAGCGGGTGCATTAGAAAACATCAGAAAATGTCTTTTTTGTTCTTCTTGGTTGCATTGCTCGTGCTGGTTGAAGTCACCGCGACCTGGCTTGGGCGGGCACGCCTTCGCAGCCACAAATTCGAAAGACCATCAGTCGCCGCTGCATTACTGCCGCGCGACTCCCCCAGTCACCATATGTGTCTGCAACGTATGGCTTCTGACGTAGCAGCTGGCGATGGTCCAAAGCGCAGCGATTGGGTCGCGGAATACGTTTCCAGATCCATGCGGGCTCCTGATTCGCTACGCTGAATGCATTAGTAGTTGATCAAGGTCACGGTAAGGGCGTGGACGAGAACTTCGCATCGATGAGCAGTTCGTGCCATTTCCAACGGAATGGAATCTTCATTTGAGCACCGAGCAACCCATTTGATATCCTTGGCGATAACGCTCATGCTGACAAGGTTTGCAGGCAACTGACCAGGAAAAAGGGCTGCCAACGACTGCGACACGGCTCCGGCGGCGACGATTTGTTCTGGTTTCGACCACGTTGGCTCACAAACGTACGCTGTGCCCCACGCATTGTCCACGCAACGGCCTCCCGTCCCATGGCGGTGAGCTCGAGACTCGCCAGCAACGTTTGCGTTGGTGGTGGGACAAACGATCTGCTGCCTGGGACAAACACCTCTTGCTTGTTTTGAAGGAGTTGCCCTTTTTCCGGATACCAACGAGAAGTCCGGATAGAACCAAGTCTTGCGATCGAGGCGATGAGCGCAGCCTCGCTCGGGTCGTGCTTGGGCGTCGCCTTTGTCGTCGATGACATCCACAAGGGCTGCAACCTCGCGTTCCGGTACCCGGCGCCTCAGAGCGACAGCCATATCTCGGCGTTTCACCGGCTAAGCTCGGCGCTCGTGGCGAAGCTCTTCCGGCCCAAGAATGCGCTCTGCAACCAAACGTTCGAGCTCGTGATCGACGACCTGCGCTTCGTGAGCCACCCCGTGGCCATCAACGTCCCGTCTGCGCCAGCGTCGGGCCAAGCGCACCGCGAGACGTCCATGTTCAACGTCATTTTCGCCTTGGACGAAACCAAGTTCCACATGGAGATGGACCCGGCGCCCGGCGACCACAAGCGCAAGGTCGAAGCGTACGCGCAGGTGGCCGCGCAGCTCGCCAACGCGCTCTTGCACGAAGAGAACCGAGTCGGCTTTGTGACCAAAGAGGTGCGCGAGCTCCTCCATATCCGCGACGAGATTGCGCAGAACGAGCGGCTCCATCACATGAGCAGCAACATGGACGACAACAATAGCGCGCCACAAGAGTCGTCATACCAAGAAGTCGACTCGGACCCGCAGACGCTCATCGACGTCGCGCTCGGGAAGAGCATCCTCGCCAACGACCTCAAGGCCGTCTACCACGGGCTCGAAGAAGACGGCTCGGTCCACGTTGTTCTCAACCGCTGGGTGCAGCTCTCGCTCACGCTCTACGACTCGAACCGGTTTGACATCACGTCGATCCGGCCGTACCACACGCTGCTCTTGCTGGCCGAGAATGAAAAGATCCTTGAGGCGCTCCCGTCCGACGCTTCGCCGCACCTCCGACTCATCATCGAGGCCCACAACCCGCTCCGGGACTTCCACGAGCTCATGGTCGAGACCGGCATCCCGCTCAAGCAGCTCTTCCGACTCGCGGCGCACCTCGTGTACTGGGGCGTCGCGCGCGTCCTGGACGCTGTCACGATGCACAACATTTACCAAGTGCGGCCGACCGCGAATCTGCATGCGCACTCGGCGCTCGCGCTCGAATTCCGGCGCAAGTTCACGAGCTTTGAGCTCGGCGAGGTGCTCGCGACCTTTATGGGCAAGCACCGCATCTCGGTGTACATGAACACGCTCTCGCAGCACCGGAAGCTCGAGTACATCCACATGCTCATCTGGCTCCTCCAGCACGACTTTATCGTGCAATTGCACCGCTACATCTACCTCATGATCCCGCAAGAGACGACGACGACGGATGTGGCGTCATCGCCGGCCGAGCCGGAGAAGGACTACATGGCCCAGCTCGCCCGCATGTCGTCATCGAGCCCCGTCTTTGACCTCTTTCAGCGCCTCTGCCCGTACTTTCACGGCCAGCATCACATGGTCGAGATCATGTGGAGAGAGAACGTGACGCGCGCCGAGCTGCGCATGGTCCTCAGCACGTACCAGAGTATCCTTGCGTTTGCCGTGCACGAGTAGTCAACACGATCCTTGCATCCATGTTGTCGCCATGATAGCTGGCATCCTACCATGCCTTTGCGATGCGTTATGCACGAGATCCAGGTCGTTGGCGTCGTAGAGGTCATCGCGCTATGCAGCCGTGGGTGCGACGACCACAGCAACGCGGTGCAACGCACGCGAATCGCGTCGATGGCCTCGCCGTCGCCGCGCACGCTTGGGCCTAGCCGCATGCAGCCATCGCCTTCATGGTCAGGAGGGCCATAGAGCGTGCAGGTACATACGACCTGCGCATGGGCCTCGCAGCTCGCGCGGCCTCTGCGCCGAGGAGCCGGCCGGCGGCGAAATTTCACAGTTGCTCGGAGCGCTGTGATTGGTCAATTTCCGATTACACTCGTTCGACGCGGCAATAAAAGACATCTTTTTCAATACAAAGCTTAAGTTGGCTTTAAAATTTGTAAAAAATGATGCGCCCAGCCGGCGCTGATGAATCCTACTCCCCAAGTCTTTCGCCAGCCGCCGTCATAGAACCAGCGCCATGTTCCTCTCCTGGGTCGGCAAGTGCGAGCTGCTGCATGCGCCTCCGGAAGCGCACGTGCTCAAGGGCTTCAACGAGAGCTGCCAGCGGGGCATCTGCTCCATGGTCATCGGCTTCCTTGGCGCCGGCGACGAAGCGGACGTGCTCGCGACGCCGACGCACGTCAAATGGTCCATGGAGGCCCTCGGCCATAGCTTTGCGCTGGGCATGGAGGACGCCGACGTCATCTCTGGCGCGACGCGCATCTACGAGAAGTGGCTCGGCCTGCACGGCGACGGCCGCCCCAAGTGCATGCTCGGCCAAGAGCAAGAGTTCATCCGCGACCTCCTCGGACACATGTCGTTGATCTTTGAAGACCGCGACGCGACGCGCGGCAAGCCCGAGCTCCTCGCCAAGCACATCTCGCTGTGCGAGAAGTACGCTCGATCAGTGTCTGTGCTTGATGTCACTCGTCGCATGCTGTAGGGTCCTCGACTTGTATTCGCTGCTGGGCCGGAAACGGGCCGCAACGCTCACGCCGACGACGTGGGACCACTTTTTGCGCCTCCTCTTGGGCATCACCGACTGCGTTCTCCACGGCAACAAGCACAGTCTGGCGTCCGCGCTCTGCGGGCAGCTCATTCGCGTGACCCTCGAGCAGTTCACCATCTCGCTTCAGTTCACGGGCGTCAAAGGCGACCTCTGGAACATGCTGCTCAAGTTTTGCCGCCGATGGCTCCACCGGAAGACCGTCATCGAGCAGTGGAACGTCATATCGTATGCGCTCACGGAGCAGCTCATGGCGCGCCTCGCGGCCGATGCATTGGCAACGACGACCGCCACGTCGCACGTGATTGAGATTCCGTGGTCCGACCGCACGCCGACCCAGCTCGAGTCCGTCCTGCCATTACTCCGATCTGAGATATCTTATTCCTCTATGTAGGCTCGAGAGCGCGCTCCTCGCGTACGCGTGGTATCGCATCATGCGCGTCATTGGCCACCCGAGCCTCTTTGTCGATCCGGACGTCTACCTTGTGGCCATCGTCCGCCTTTCCCATATCTATCTCTATTGACATGGTGCTTGTAGAGCGGTATCCGGCGGCTCGCCAACGTCCTTACGTACGTGGCCCCCGCGACGTCGGACGAGAAGCAGCCGCAGCTGCCCGACGTCAACACGGTCCTACGTATCCTCGGCCCGTGGCTCTTTGATGCGTCCTTGAACCGAACGGGCCTCCCGCGCTTTGCCCTCTGTCGCGCCGAGGCCGTGCGGTGCCTCGGCGACCTCCTCAGCCAGCACGGCGGCGGCCGCACCAAGCAAGTCACGTGGCCCTTCACCATCCGCGCGCTCATGGCGATCCAAAAGGCGCTGCTCGAAGACGACGACGTACGTCCTTCTTCAAATAAGAGAAAACTGAGATCGGACAGGTGCTCGTGGCGTCGGCCGTCGCGAGTTGCTCGCGCATCTTTGGCACGCATGGCACACACACGCTGCGTGGCGTCGGCGTCCTCGCCGGCAGCTTTCACCACGCGATCGACCGCATCTTCAAGTACAAACATGGCATATTATTTGACCTGTTTCTATATGGGGCGCGTAGACTCAGTGCGACAAAGAGCCCGAGCGTCCGGAAGGAGAGCGCCAGTGGGGCGTCGTCGCCGCGCAAGCGCCTCTCGGTCGGCGACGAAGCAGGCGGCGTCTCGGCCATTGGCGGTGTGCCCATCACGCTTCTCCGGCGCGCTTGCATCGAAGCCTGCAGCTCGTTGCTCACGATCCACTCGCACTTGCCTGTTTGCATCGTTTTGTGTTGTCTCGATCTCAGTCTCAATGATGTAGATTTCCATCACAAAGCAAGTGGAGAAGAGCTTGACGGGCCACGTGGACGGCGGCCTACCCCTTGTCTACTCGAGCCTCCCGCGGTACCAGAGCTCGAACGTCGTCACGCTTCTCATCGGCTGCCTCAAGTCGGAGGTCGACTCGACCAACCAGCAGGTGTCTCGTCGGTTTTGGGATCCGCAAGGACCGAACGTTGTGGGTCTTGTAGATGGCCATGTGGCTGCTGACAATTGCGGTGCAGAAGGAGGCGCTGTTCTGGTCCATGGGTCTGGCCTCGACGCGCAACTCGCAAGTGCCCATGACGATCACGAGCATTTGCTCGTTCCTGACCAAGATCCCGAGGTAGTACCATCTCTTTTCGTCTGTCGTCGGAGGAGACGACCGCCATCTAGTCGGTGGAAGCCCGCGTGCGTCTTTACGGCGCTCGAGTGTCTCCGGTACCTCACAATCGTGAGCGAGCACCTTTACAAGCACGTCTTCTCGTCCTGCGTCTACTTGATCAGCTGCGTGTGCGAGTTTATGGCGTCCAACGCCCAGGCGCTGCGCACGATGCGGTCGCCGCCGGTGTACGTCGACCAGCTCATTGCGTCCGCGATGGGCTGTCTCCTCGAGTGGATTGTGACGACGCCGCAGCTGCTGAGCAAGACGCAGATCATGGTCAAGATCATTGCGACCGTCGTCGACTGCGCCGACTACCGAAAAGAGTTTGTTCCGCTCGTGCCGCACGCGGACGACGCGACGCGCCAGAGCGCGCACGAGGTCCTCGAGTACCTCGTCAAACACCACGCCAACACGGCCACGGACGCGCGTCACAGTGTACGTTGCCCCGTGTCTTCTCAATGGCACTGCGTTGGCACATTGACATATTGATACTAGGTGCTCGACGACGACGAGCATACGCAGAGCCGGTACTTTGTGTGGAACCACGGGACGCTCGTGGGCCTCCTCGAGGGCGACGACGGTGGCCTCGCAGTCTCACTTCGGGACGCGAGCGGCCACTACGCGTGGCGGGTCAAGGCCCAGTACCGGTACACGCCGCTGGGCGCCCCGGCGCCGTCGCCGCCCGTCGCGCGCCCCACGCGCACGTCGTCGTTCTACACGTACCAGCACGACGCCGAGATGGATATGGACGGCGAGACTATGCCGACGGACCCGCTGCTGCAAACGCTTCGGCAAAATGCACCGCAGCTCACCAACTGGAGCAGCTCCAGCAGTGCGACCTTGGACGCGTCCGAAGGCAACTTGGCCAAGCGGGACGTCGAGACGTTTGTGCAGCTGCTGCAAGCGCAGCGCGAAGCCGAAGAGATGATCCTCGCCCAGCACGCGGGCGAGGCGAGCGGGCCCGAGCCGCTCGAGGCGCCCCGACCGACAACGGCCGCCAACGACGCCCGCCGGCTTCTGTCGCAGCTCGGGTTTATCTCGATCGGCTCGTGGGGCTCGTTCTTCCCGCTGACCAACAGCGCGGGTCTCCTCGCCGACCTCCGCGCACTGGACCGCCTCCCGACCCGCGAGACGTACGAGGTTGGATATTCCTTCGTCCTACTTGGTTTTTCATTCGCCATGTAGATCGGCATTGCGTACACAGTCAACGGCCCTTCTGTCGGTGGCTTTGATTCGATCTCGACGCTCGACCAAACGTCGACGCCGTCGCCGTCGTACGCTGCGTTTGTGGCGACGATGGGCTGGACCGTCGACGTGGGCACGTACGGCGGGTTCCTCGGGCACAGCCCGCGCGAGACCGGCCAAGCGCTCGTGTACGCGCAGTACAACTACGAAGTCGCGTTCTATACGCCGACGCTGGCCGCGCACCGTCCGCTCCTCGCCAACGCCGAGGTGCTCATCGTCTGGAACGAGTGCCAGCAAAAGTACACGCCGGGCTCGGCGCTCTGGGCCTCGGCGTACGGCCTCCCGCACCCGCGCGCGAGCGTCTACATCATCATCGACCCGCTCGACGAAGGCCTCTTTTGCGTGCGCATCTCGGTCGCCGGCTCCGTCTTTGAGAGCGACGCAGGTATCGTACGCGCGTCGATGCCCTCCGCGTCAGCACGCGTTCTAGGCGCCTTGGACGAAGATACGTTTGCCGGACGTGTCCTCGGCCCGCTGCAGGTAGATGGCAGCGCGCTCGTGGCAGCTTTACGCAGGGACGTGACTAGGATGGCATGGTCATTAGCGGCGAATGGCTTGGACCGCTCGTGCGCCAAACCGCCCTCAACGCTGTGCACGTCCACCGCCTGCAGCAGCGTCACCAGCACTCGCTCGGTCTCTCGACCCAGTCACCGATCCGGTCTGCAAGCTTGCACATAGCAGGGTGCTCATATGTGTTGTAGGCCACAAGACAAGCGCACCAAGCTCATTGCCGGCGTGGTCCGGGACCACGTGGCGCCGTTGCTGCCCGGCGAGTTTTACAGCTCGTTGTTTCCGCCCACGAGCGCGTAAGATTGTATACGTGGTCTTCTTGGGTGTGTGGGACTGGATAAATACAGCTACTGCTTGGACGACTACATGTGCAGCAGGTGGATTTGAACCGGCGTCGCCTGGCAGAGCGGGCACTTGCCGTTGACCGCGACCGCGTTGCTGACGCACGGAGCGCAAAAGAGGTGGCCGCACGACGTCGACGCGAGCTCGGTAAACTCGTCGAGGCAAATGGAGCAGAATGCGTTCTGCTTGTACTGCTCCATCGCGACCGCGTTGTCCATGCATACTTGGGTGCAGTCGGCCGACGCCATGTGGACGGGGTCGAAGCGCACGGCCTTTCCGTCGCTGCGCACGAGAGGCGACGGTGAGGCGGCCGGCGCCTTGCCATTCGACCGCTTGCGCTTCTTGGCGGGAGGCGCCTCTCTCGCCGCGGGTCGAGCGCGCGCGGGCGACGGGATCTCGTGCGTCAAGTCGACGACACGGGGCGGACCGGCAGGTGGGCGCCCCTGGAAGAGGGCGAGCAGCACTTCTTCCGGTAAGAAGGCCATGAGGGCCTCGATGTTTCTCATGCTGGCAGGCGAGGATGACAATACGCCGGCGGATGGACGGGGGCGGGCTGGTGGTCTTCGGCGCCGAACGAGCAATAGCTTTGCCTCGGGATCGAACTCCGCAAACGGAATCCGGATATCCGTCGACCACCCATATCCGGATGACCAAATTCAAAAATCTCAACTGGGAGAGGCGACGTACACGACCCAACTGCCGACCGACTAAGCTTAGGCGACTGACGATAATATCGCCAGTCATTCGGCTCAGTGAGCTATCTACTAACTACACTGCCACGCTGCACTGTCTTGGGCTCCGAGACTCGCAGGCCTGGACGAGGCATGTGGCTTCAGACAGTGATCGTGCACAAGACCGAGGAAGAGCAGCATGCCATGCATGACACATGTATATATGGAAACGATGCACTCATGCGGCGCGGCTTAGCTGAGGAGACTGCGCATGACGGTCTTGATGTTGAGCTTGGTGAGGTTGGTGTACTTTTGGCCCGTCCCGACAAACATGATGGGCTGCCCCGTCTTGTACACCATCGAGACAGCCGCGCCGACTAGGAAGATGTGAGCTTCACAAGGAGGATGCTTCTTGCGTGCATACCCTTGTCGTCGATCGTGTCAAACTTGGTGATGACGATGCCGTCGACGCGGCGCGGGTCCTGGCGGTCCGAGTAGTCGACGAGCGCCTACATCATGACGCACCGCTCCAACATGGCTGCGAAACGAAGGGAGTGACGTACGCGATCAAAGAGCGAGAGCTGGTCAATGCCATCGTTGCCGACAAGCGCCTCGCCGACAAAGAGCACGAGGTCCGGGTTGTTGACCGAGACGAGCTTGGCGAGTGCGCGCATGAGCGGCTCGTTGTTCTGCATACGCCCCGCCGTGTCGATGAGGACGCAGTCAAAGCCATTGTCGTTGCCGTAGGCCACCGCATCGCGCGCAACGGCCGCCGGGTCCTTGGCGTACCCGCGCTCAAAGAGCGGCACGTCGAGCACCTTGCAGTGCTGGTTGAGCTGCTCGACAGCGCCCGACCGGAACGTATCGCAGGCCGCAATCATCACCTTGACGCCGCGCGACTTGAGGTAGTAGCACACTTTCGAGAGACTCGTCGACTTGCCGACGCCGTTGACGCCGACAAACACGATCGAGTAGCAGCGGCCGGCCTCGCGCGCTGCGAGCACTTCGCGCAAGACGTCGGTCGACTTTTTTGGCGTCAAGATGCGCAGCAAGGCTGTTTCGAGCGCCTTTTGCACCACAGTTTGAATCCTACACGAGGGAATTCGCATCACTTGTTGTCAGGAGCATCCTTTGTACCGTGTAAAGCTCTCGAGGCGCTTCCCGATCATCGTCGTCATGACCGACTCACAGAGCTCTTCGGCCACTTCGGTCGCCACGTTCTTGGCAATGAGCTAGTGTGCGCCATGAGGACCGACAAACTACGAGTGAGGAGCAGTACCGTTTGGCGGAATTGGTCCATGACCGGCGCCAGATCGTCGCGCGTCAGCATCTACATAGCCGTCGTGTGAGATCTGGGAACGGTACCAACGACGAGTACCTTGTTGCCCGACACCTTTTGCAGAAAGTCGCCGAGGCGCGTCTGGCCAAAGCTCCAGCCCGAGCTGCCGTCCGTGCCCGACTGCTCCGACTCGCTCTCGTTCTCGTCGTCCGACATGGTGTCGGCCTGGACCATGCATATTGAGTGCCAACTCGCAATATTCGCACTGCGTACCCCAATGTTTTCGCGTCGCTTGGTATCGAGCATCGCCTGTTCGTCGTCGGCAGTGACCGGCTTGGATTGATCGAGCTTGGCCATGTCCTTGGCCGAGATCTTGTCTTTGATCGTGTACGAAAGCGCAGGCTTCTTCGTGCCCTTGTTCTTGTCTACGCAAACATATTCAGGCTACAACAACAGAGGACACATGCAAGCGTACCATCGGCGGGTTTGTCCGCGTTCTTCTTGAACTTGGACGGGCGCGGGCCCGTGCGCATGGTCTTGGTCGACTTGGAGGATCCGAGACGCGCCATGTCGTGCTTCAAGCGATCGAGCTCGTCGGCCGACGACGTCACACCTTCGCTGTCGTCCTTTTCCTATGGCAGATGTGAGCTTCCGAACATTGGGAGGATATGATCGACCTTGTCTGCGGGGTCGGAGCTGGCGTCGGCTCTGGCCGCGCCATTCTTCTTACTGGTCGGCAGAGCACGCGTACTGGTCGTTGTCGTATTCATGTGCTTGCCCTTCATGTAGCTCGTCTCGACGTCGCGGAGGATCCGATCAAAGGCGTCGTCAAAGGCAATCGGCGCACGCGCGCGGATCTCATCGATGAAGCTGGCAACGACCTCTTGCTTGAGGCGCTCGAGGAGCTCGTCGACGTAGAGAAGCTGCAGCACCTTCTGGTAGACGACGACGAGCACGAGGTTGAGCTTGTTCTCAAGCGTCCAGCGCATCTGGTACGCGTCGTAGTTGAGCTCCTTGCGGCCCGTGCGCTCTTCGAGGAGCACGGTCTTGACGAGCTCGTCCACGGGGTTGCCACGCAGCTGGCAAAGGGAGCGCGACCAGAGAACGGTACCGCTCTGGCTGAAGATGGAGACGTGGTCAAGCATGTTGTCTACTTGGAGGTTGGCGGAAGATAAGCGTTGGGTCTGGCTGTCGAGTTGACTTGTGGAAAAAAGAAACTAAAACTTCCTCCACCGTTATCCGGAATTCGTACCCCGTGTGACGCGGCCATACAACCACTCAAGTTAAAAACACGCAACTCTTGAAGCGGACTGTGGCGTCTATGCGCTTATCGCAGAGCGTGCCGTCGTCCACACTGCTCTGCATCGTGGCCATGAGCTTGGCACAATGCGCTGTGTCCACATTCCACGCAGTGTTGATGTCATCGTCCTGCGCCCGGAACGGTGCTGCGCTCTTGGCAACCATCGCTGCGTCAAAACGACGCAATGTTGAACCCACGCCTCCATTTGGCTATTACATCGTCCATATGAAAGGTGATCTTTGTTAAGGAGCGTTGTTTCAGCCAACATAATATCACACGTTTCTCGACTTTCGAGAATACACCAGTGTAAATTCCCACTATTTCGTGCAATTTTACCGTATTTCTCCAGGCATGCTGCCTCCCGTTATCACTTGGTTCATCAGTCCAAGCGAATTGATTAGTCGTGCGTCCAGACCGACGAGCGCGTTGCGATCTCGTGCTGCACAGAGCGAGTCCGACACTCGCCGCCAACACCGGTTATCCGATGAAGCGATCCCTCGAGCCAAACCAAACACGTCCGTCCAGTGGCCGCAAGCCAATCCTTGATTGGCCTCCCCTATAAGCGCCAAATCCATCCGCTTGCATGAACGTAACACCGAGACCCATCATGCGAACCTTCTATGCAGGCTGTGTCGACATTCCAGTACCGGTACCAGTACAGAGGTGCGGTGGCATCTCGTGCGTACTGCTACACAAGTTGCAGTGGTGTTGGAGGTGCGCCACACAACACTCGCAGTCGTGGAGTCCACATCGTTCGTCTCAATGTTCGTCTCGTTACTCGTGGAAATGCCAGCTGCTCGAGTCGGCACGGCAGAAACCGCTCCGTGCAGCGCTCGTCACGTACTGCTGACACCCATTGCTCGCACGACGCTGGCGTCGCTCTTCGCAACACTACGCAGCGCTTTGTCGTTGCCCTCAAGGGCAACCACGTCCCTTCTTGGCTGCCGCGCCAAGGAGCTTCGTGGCGCTTCGATGGTCAAGTATACCACGGTACAACACGCAGGTGCGTCATGCGCGCGATTACACGCAAGTGGCCGTCAACGCCAACCAATTTGACGTGGAAAGGTCCAATCAATAATCGAACGCGCCGTTCGACTTGATGTTTGTATACAAGAGTTGGTTGACGTCATCGGATCCGAGGTTGTGACGTAGAAGGTCGCGAGCTTGAACCGGCGCGATCCGTCCGCCACTGGCCGATATCATTCCTCCTGAGCAGCAGTAACATGACCGAGGATAAGACCAAGGTCGAGTTCCCGACGCTCACGGAGCTCAAGCACTCGATCCCGAACGCGTGCTTCGAGTCGAACCTCGGCCTCTCGCTCTACTACACGGTCCGCGCGATCTTCAACGCGTCGGCCTCGGCGGCGCTGCTCTACGCGGCGCGCTCGACGCCGTTCATTGCCGATAACGTTCTGCTCCACGCGCTCGCTTGCGCCACCTACATCTACGTGCAGGGCGTCATCTTCTGGGGCTTCTTCACGGTCGGCCACGACTGCGGCCACTCGGCCTTCTCGCGCTACCACAGCGTCAACTTTATCATCGGCTGCATCATGCACTCTGCGATTTTGACGCCGTTCGAGAGCTGGCGCGTGACGCACCGCCACCACCACAAGAACACGGGCAACATCGACAAGGACGAGATCTTTTACCCGCACCGGTCGGTCAAGGACCTCCAGGACGTGCGCCAATGGGTACGCTGCACGCTACCAGCGCTCTCCGAGGCTCACGAGCGCATTAGGTCTACACGCTCGGCGGTGCGTGGTTTGTCTACTTGAAGGTCGGGTATGCCCCGCGCACGATGAGCCACTTTGACCCGGTATGCCACGCGATGCTGCAACCCGACGAAACTCATGCGCATGGTAGTGGGACCCGCTCCTCCTTCGCCGCGCTTCGGCCGTCATCGTGTCGCTCGGCGTCTGGGCCGCCTTCTTCGCCGCGTACGCGTACCTCACGTACTCGCTCGGCTTTGCCGTCATGGGCCTCTACTACTATGCGCCGCTCTTTGTCTTTGCCTCGTTCCTCGTCATCACGACCTTCTTGGTAAGAAGCGAGCGTGTGGTCGTTCTCGCTCACATGGTTGTAGCACCACAACGACGAAGCGACGCCGTGGTACGGCGACTCGGAGTGGACGTACGTCAAGGGCAACCTCTCGAGCGTCGACCGCTCGTACGGCACGTTCGTGGATAACCTGAGCCACCACATTGGCACGCACCAGGTCCACCACTTGTTCCCGATCATTCCGCACTACAAGCTCAACGAAGCCACCAAGCACTTTGCGGCCGCGTACCCGCACCTCGTGCGCAAGAACGACGAGCCCATCATCTCGGCCTTCTTCAAGACTGCGCACCTCTTTGTCAACTACGGCGCTGTGCCCGAGACGGCGCAAATCTTTACGCTCAAAGAGTCGGCCGCGGCCGCCAAGGCCAAGTCGGACTAAGACTAGGAAGCGCAATACAGGACGACGTCGTGTCCATAATCTGTCTACTAGCTGTTTCCATTGCACTTAAGCGTCGAGCTCCGCCACCTAGCACCATGTTCAGCGCCAAGGCGGTCGAGGATGACACGTACCTCGTACTGCATCTCGACGAGGAGCTCGTTAATGGCTTCAATGATCTTGGTGTGGGTACCCTCCATGGACCGGATCGAGGTGTCGTAGATGCTCGCTGACACGTCGTCGTCGCGCGTCTGCTTGGATCGCATGCGCTCCAAGAGCAAGGCCGACGTCTACGTATTGCCTTTTATGACTAGTAGGGAGATATGGTCGTCGTACGAGGAGGAGCTTTTCCTTCTCCTGGATCTGGACCTTGCGAATGAGGGCGGCGAGCGTCGTCGCGTCGCGCGCGCGGAGCGTCGCCTGGCACCATTGCATGAGGTACGAGCATCGCAATCAAAGCGACCTCGATGCGGTTGATCTCGGCGCTCACGGCCGCAAAATGCTTGGTGATTTCTTGAGCTAGCCGCCGGATCATGAGCCCATGGTAAGGCGAACCAAAAGCGTACAAAAGACGGCAAACTCGTCCTTGAACATGAGCTCGACAAAGCCCCTAGCACCACGCATCATACGAAGTACGCACGCTCGCGACGCCTACGTCTCGAAGCGCGCGTAGATCTCGACGCGCTTGCTTTGGCAGCGCATGAACGCATCGTACAAGCCACGGGTCGACGTCGCCTGCAGGTCGTCATCCTCGGGCACGCAGCTCTCGAGGTGCAAGTCGTGCGCGAGCGTCTGCTTGACGTTGGCCACGGCGCAGGGCGTCGCTTCATGGCCAGCATGCTCCTCGTGGTCGCAGCCCTGGCGGGCCTTGAGGATGTCCAAGCATGCGTCCAGGTCCATCGCGCAATATCTACCTTGAACCAAACAAGGACGACCCCCTACTTGCTACAACACGCATCGGACCCCGACGTTTTTCCGGATTTCGATCGATTTTACGGTACACCACATTGGGATTTCCGGGGATTTCGGCCAGTGCAGCATGGGCAAGGAGACGTACGTCTGCGCGTACTGCAACAAGTCGTTCACGGACTCGCACGAGGCGCGGAAGAAGCACCTCTCGGGGCGAGCGCACAAGGCCAACGTCAAGCTGTGGTACGATGCGGTCGACACGGGCGCGGCGCGGACCGACGGCCAGTGGACGCATGCCGGGCCAGCCTCCACCGACCTCTCGCTGCCGCCGTCGCTGCGGCCACCGCCGCCGACCGCGTTTGCCATTCTGCCCGCCGAGTGGGGCTCATAGAGACAAGAACCATTGTGGTATATGCAACACTTGTATTGCGGCGGCTTATCGCTGGAGGTCGGAGCGCTTGAGCGGCTCGTAGAGCTGGCGCAGCGGCAGCGTCGTCTCTTGGTTTTCGGGAAAAAAGCTCAAAAAGTACCCGAGCTGGCGTGTCCACGGCAGGAGGAGGCGGCGGACGTCCATGAACTTTTCGAGCCGGTGCTTTTGCAGCAGCGGAAGTAGCGGCGAGAGCGTCGTCGGTGTCGACGACGCACCGCTTGACGCCTCAAAGATGCAGGCAAAGACCTCATGGCCAAAGACGACGCCGTAGACCAAGTCGGCCAGCGTCACCGTGTGCCGACCCGCGTTGCTGCGGACGCCGTACCAGATGAGCTCGTCCGTGATGTAGTAAAAGTCAAAGTACAGCGCGCGGTACGACTGCGGGATCGTGGCCTGGCCGAGGCGGCCGTGCGGGCGCGGACTTACGGGCACGACGAGGTCGATCGCGTGCTCGAGCTCGTACAAGAGCGACCGGCGGTTGTCGTCGTCGAGGTCCGTGTCGAGCAGCACGGTGTGGAGGCCTTTCCAAAACAGTTGAAAGTTCTACACACTGCGTCACTCTCGGCTCGAGATTCACAGCTCAATCTACCTTGAGGAATTTGGCGATCGTGTCTTCCAGCGTCGAGAACGGGTACGCTTCGCGGAGCTGCGGCGCGTTGAGGAAGCTCGACATGTTGCTCGGCGTGAAGCTCAGCGACACGTGGTAGTGCTCGGCAAACTGCTTCATGTTGTAAAACGCAATGTGCTCCTTCACGCTGTGCTCCCACTGCTGCCGGTGCTTCCGGAGCAGCTCCAAGTTGGGCTCGATCCGCAGCACCGCAATGTCGTGCGGTTCGAGCTTGAGCGACAATGTTGCGTGCTTTTGGTCGCCTGCAACACGCAGCGCGAGCGGCGCGAGGACGCCGTCGACGTCGACAATGTGGTCGACGCTCACCTCGAAAAACATGCTGTCGTTGCGGATCGCCACGTGCGCGTTGACGTCGCTGCGCACGTTGCGGAGCACGATGAACTTGGCGTCGGCTTGCATCTCGGTCGGCGAGTCTTCGCACAAGATGGACTCGGGCGCGGAAAAGCCCATGCCGAGGAACGTGGGTTGCGCGGCGAAGTACGGCAGCGCCGGCTCGTGGTACGTCGGCCAGTCGCCGAGCGTCGGCTGCGCGTGCGCAATGTGCACGTGGAGCTGCGGCATGTTGCACGTTGCTTTCAAAAACACTGTCTCGCGAAAGTCCTTGACGAGCCGGCAGTTGACGTAGACCTCAATGTTGCGCACCCAGCTCTCGGCGGTCGCGGTCGCCTTCTTGGGCGCCGGTCGAAAGTTGAGAAACACCTGCAGCCGCTGGTACGCGCCAAGTGTCACGCTGCTAATCTCGTTGAACGAGGTCGGCGACATGGAGAAGCCCACTTCGTGCGGCCGCCCGTTGCTCGAGAGCATAAAGTCGAGCGACAAGCTCGAGAAATTCTCGAGCAGCACCGAGTGGTTGTGGTACAGCTTGTCGTAAAAGACGTCGCCGTACTCGATCTCCAAGCGCGACGGCGGGTCCTCGGGCGTCAGAGAAAACTCGGACGACTTGCGCCGCTGCCGCTTCGAGCCAGAGTAGTTGGACACGAGGACTCGAAAGAGGTTCGTGTCCGACTTGTCTTTGGCCATGGCCCGGAGCGCGTTGAGGTCCGCAATCACCTCCATCTTGACGCGAATGAGCTTGAGATCGCTCGGGTTGCCGACGTTCTCGAGCACGAGAAACGTGCTGTAGACGCCGACCACGTCGCGCGCAAAGCGGAGCACGATCGTCTGGTACGACAAGAGCGACCCCTGCGACTTGCTCAGGCGCAGCCACGACGACGCTTTGGCGTCCGCAAGGTACAACCGGTACCCGACGCTCTTCTCCTGCTCGTTGTGCAGCGTAATCTCCCACTCGATCTCGCCGCCCGCGCGCACCGTGTGCTGCCCCACGTCAATGACGTACAGCGTGTTGTCGAGCGTCGAGTTCTCGGCCGGCGTGCACCCGCGTACCGTCAAAAGTGCATCGGTCGCGGCCTCGAGCACCTCGGACGGTGGCGGCGACGGTGACGACACGGCGTCACTCTCCACGACCGCAGACTCGTTTGCGACGTTCTCCTCGAGCTGCATACTGTTACTGGACGACGTTGTGTCGAGGCGTGGCCGGCGCTTTGACACGGCGCTCTGGATGACGGCGGGCGGCAGCGCCGCCATCTCGGCTTCTTCCATGACCAGCAGCACGTCAATGAGGGCCGAGGAGCTAGACGCAGTGACATCGCGCACCGAGAGGAGCATGCAGTGTGGCTCGCTGTGTGCTTCGTGGGCCGCGTGCGTGCACTCTTCCAAATGCACGAGCACCTTCATCGAGCTCTTGGGCGCAATCGTGCCCGTCGACGGCGTCACAACGGCGCAGAGAACGTCGCCCATCGCCGCCGCCGACGTCTCCTTGTGCAAAAAGCAGAGCCCGGGCACGTGCGTCGAGTATGACGTGACCTCAAACGTGAGCGGCTGCGTCGTCGACGGGTTTTGGATCCAAAAGCAGTCCGAGCTTTGCTGCAACTGGTAGCAGCTCGAGCGCGGGAGCGGGTTGGCGTGGAACCGCAGCTGGCGCGCCGAGAGGCTGAACGATTGCCCGAGCACAAGCGCGCCCTTGATTGCGATCTCGCGGATGCGCGCCGCCGAGTCCAAAGCGGTCGCAGCGATGCACAGCATGCCAAAATCGCACGCGTCATCAAAGCGCGAGCCGTCGCTTGAGGACGCAAACGGGAGGTCCGTCCACGTCGCCCCCGGCAGCATGCTGCAGTGCACACGCACGTCCACGTGCTCGCCGGGTGGCAGCGTCAGCGCCGTCAGTGGCGTGTTGGACGACCGCGACACGACAGCCACTTCCAGCACACTACGTATTTGTCATACGATATGCTCTTTGTATAGAAGAAGAACGTACCTTGCGAGCGCGTCGGATACATGGCACGACAGCTTGATCTCGAGGTCGTCGTCAAACACGTTGTGGATCGTGCAGAGAAAGCCCGAGGGCGCGTCGCTCGGCAGCACAAGCGGAGGCACGTACGCGACGAGCGCTTCGTCGGACCGGACGCAGTCGCTCTCGAGCGCAATGTCCATGTAATTCGCAATCACATGCGCCGAGACCGTGACGACCTGCGTGTTGTGCGGGTTGTGAAAGTTGAAGAGACTCAAGCTGAGCTCGTGCCGCCCGGCGCCAAGGTACTAGCATCGACGCCATCATACCAAGTCACTTGACGAGAGAGAGGTACCTCGGGGGTGTGGAGGCACTCGAACACCAATGTCGCGGTCGCTCGGCTTTCGATTTCGTAAAAGACGTCCGAGACAGCACCCGAGAGCGCCGTTGCGAGCTGCTCTTGGAGCGAGACGACGCCCGTTGTCGACACGTCGTCGTCGTCACAATGACTGTACTTCGGAGACGACACGCGCGCCGCGCTATGAATCTCGAGCAGCACCAAACACGGCGGGAGCGGTCCGAGACAAAAGAGGCCCGGAACATCAGCCACGTTCTTGACGTCCACTTCAAACGTGCACGGCGACCACGCCGTCGAGTAGCCAATCTTGCCGAGCGAAATGTGCGACGAGAGCACTTGAAGGCGCGATTCGCCGTAGACACCCGTGACAGGCAGCACGCCGAGCGTCGTCGCCTCGCACTGCTCGTGGTGGTCCTCGAAACTCTGGAACGCAATCATGCCTTGGAGCGGCACGGTCTTCCCCGCGTCCATCGCATCGATCGGCAAGAGGTCCGAGCACGCCACCGGCGCAAACTGTGTCGCGACGACCACGATCGTGTGCGGCTCCAGCGTAAACACCGGGCCCGTGTAGAGGCCGACGGCACTCGCATTGCTGCTGGGCACCGCCGAGAGCTCGCGCGCATCGGTCGCCGTGATCCCATTGGCAAACGTTGGGACGCGGCTCGCTGCCGGTGCATCGAGCACAAGCCACGAAAAAAGTAGCGGGAGGTTCGAGATCGGGCGCAGCGTCACGGCGCGCGACGAGCGGTTCACGAGCGAGACGTACCACCGGTGGTCTGCGACCGTCGACGGCTGAAAGATGCGGTACTGGCGCTGGTTGTCGCTGTTGGCGGCCAAGCCGAGGGGCTCGCTCGTAATGACGGGCACCGTCCCGAGCGCGAGGACACTGGGTTTCGTCGCAAACAAATCGCCTTGCAGCATTGCGCGGAGTCGGTCCTGCAGCGTGTACAAGGCCGCGCGCGGTACGACGTCGCACGCGATGCTGCCATTGTCGACAAAGAGCACCACGTCGACCGTGTTGACGTTCTGCGGGTTGTACACGTTCTCGACCACGATGCGCCGGCGAAAGAGGCCGTGCGTGAACGCCGCCACGTTAAAGTCGATGCGGCACGACTCGCCCGGCGGGATCTCGCCCTTTTCATGCCGGAGCGACACGTGCAGCGACTCGTCGTCGTCCGAGTAGCCAGCTTCGTGCACGGCCGCAACGTACACGCGGTACGTCAATGGCAGCGACTTGTTGACGTTGGTGAGCTCAAACCCCCCTTCGTGGGTTTTGCAGCGCTGGAGCCGACCAATGTTGAGCTCAGTCCCAAAGTCAATCTCGCGCGGCACCACGGTGGCCAAGCTCGCGCCCGCGACGCCGACAAACTTGACGGTAAACTCGGCGGCCAGCACGCGGTCCTCGAGCGCGTCCTTTTCCCGGAACAGCTGCATGCGAATGCCGCCCATGAGGTCGCGCGACGCCCCCGTCTTGAACGCGTCGGCGGGCAAGCGCGGCCGAAATGCAATGTACAGGTCCGTGGCCTCCATGCCCGGGAGCACAATGTTGGTCGCGTCGTGCTGCAGCGCCGCGTCCTCGTAGACGTAGCACTGCGTCTTGAGGTTCGACGACGCACACAGAAGGAGCGTTTCCGTGACCTGGGACACAAGCGTGATCTTGCGCACCTTGCTAAACTTGCCGTCGATCTCGTCGGCCGTGACGTAGCAAGCACCAATGTTGAGGTCCGTGAGCTGCCCCGTAAAATGCGGGTCAAGTTCCGGGATGCGCACGTAGACAGGGCGCGTCACGCGGACGTTGATGTTGACCGTCGTCGAGTCGAGCCGGTCGTTGAGGTTGCGGACGAGAATCGCTTCCGTGTGCTTGCCCGAGCTCGTGCCCGTGTATGTGAACCGGATCGGCGTGCGGCCATTGCCCTCGACGCGCCCTGTCGCCGTCGGGAGCACGAGGTTGGTCGCTTTTGCCGGCGCGTCATCCGGGCCAATCGACGAGACAAGCACGAGAAACTTGACCGGCGTCGACGACGCGTTGCACACGTAAAAGACGCCGTGCACGACCGCGCCAAGCTGCTGCTCGCCGAGGTCGACGCGGTCCGACTCGAGATGGAGCGACCGCTGGACCGTCTTGACGATCGTGACATCGACGCTGGACGTCGACTTGCCATCGCTGAGCACGAGACGACCAGCGGGAAACTCGCCCTTCTTCTTCCACTCGGACGGCAGCGCGAGCTTTCCCAGCGTTGTCGCCAGCGGTGCCGTGGCCTCGATCCCCGACTTGGCCGCAAAATGCCAGCGCACGTGCAGGTTCGAAGCCGTGTCCGGCGTAATCGCGAGCTTTTGAGGCAGCGCCATGGGCACGTCGTCGGCCATGTCGATCGCGAGCCCGACAACATCTTGGAACGCGTCCGACGGCACCCACTTGAGCTCGAGCGTGCTTGCTTCCTTCGGGCGCACTTCGAGGAGCCATCCCAGCGCGTCACTCGGTGCTTCTTCGATCGGCAAGAGCAGCGTCGATGGCCGCGTCGCGCCAAGCTGCCCGACGCTGACCTGGAACCGATCAATGGCCGGCTTGCTCGGCACCGGGTCTCGGAACGGCATGGGCGGCAGCAGCGTTTTGCCGACGACACGGCAGTAGGCGTTCTCGCCCGCGGGTGTTCGGAGGTACACGTCGGCCTTGTACTGCAGCTCCTTCATCACGTCCTTATTTTGCTGCTCGTAAAAGAGGAATTTGCCGACGCCAAAGATCGGGGTCGCGGCGCCCGGGGCCGCTGTCGGCGGCAACATGCCGCCCTTGCCGCGGCGCCCGTGGTGGCGGCGGCGGTGCGGACCCGCTTTCTTCGCCGACACGACGTCGCCCTCCTGCTTGAAGACGACCGTGCCGACAATGCGTCCCGTCGACTCGGGCTCGAGCGTGAAATGCAACGTGTTGTGAATGACCGTGGGCACCGACCGCCGGCGAACGACCTGGCGCCGAAGCGGCGTCCGCGACTCGGACTCGGACTCGGTGTCGCTGTTGCCGCTGTCGTACGCCGACGCGCTGCTCCGTGGCGGGTGTTTGCCCGTCTCGGCACTGCCTTCGCCCGATAAAAGCGCCTTGACGTGACTGATCTTGGAGTTGAGCTTCCCAATCTTGTCTTCCTTCTTCTTGGTGACAGCGATTCGGAGCTTGTGCTCGAGCTTCTCGAGCTCCTCGTCGAGCTTCTTCTCCTGCGCTTGCGTAATGTTGGCCGCGGGGATGGCATCCAAGTTGAAGGAGAACGTCGGGCGTAGCGACGGCACGGAAAAGCCCGTCACTGTGTCGACCTCGATGACGTACTCGCGCTTCTTGCGGCTCATGTTGCGGATCGTGAGCTTGAATGCGTCGCTCGGCTCGTCGACGAGGCACGTGCCGACCGAGATGGGCTGGCCGGCCTGCGGCAGTTTGAACGTCTCGCGCTTGACGACCTTGGCCTTGATCGTGACAAACACCGAGTTTTCGACGTCTTGGACGTTGACAATCTTGAGCTTCTCCTCGAACGGACCCGCGAGTGTTGGCTGAAACTCAAAGCACACGTGGCGCGCGCCAAAGGGCTTGATGACGCCCACGTCGCCGTCTTTGATCTCGAGAAACCCGGACGAGATCGACCCCGTCTTCTCAATCATGTAGACGAGCGGGATCGCCGACCCGTTGCGGACCAGCACCTTCTTGGAGCTCTTGCTGAACGTCGTGATGCGCCCAAAGTTGATGTTTTTCTGGTTCACTTGCAGCACGGAGCGACACACGCGGCTCTTGAGGAGCAATTCGCGCACCGACGGCCGCGTGTCGAACGGGTGCAGCGAGTGCCCGAGCGACGCCGACGCCGAGAGGTCCGGGTGCCGCCCCTGTTGGTTGCCGCCTGCCGGCAGCGTCACAAACACCTTGTACTTTTCAACGCGGGATTTCTCAGGCGTCTCCTCCCCGACCTTGGGCGTGAAGACCGCGAGGATCGGAAGCGACCCTTTGGCCGGAATGCGAACGTTCCACTCTTTCGTCGTGAGCACGGGCACAAGGTGCTTGTCGGCGACGAGCTGGTGGAACCGGCGGACGCGCTCGCGGATCAAGGTCACCGTGTCCTTCTCGCGCTCGGCGTCAAAGCGAAGCGACTCAAACATGCCGACGACATCAGACGTCACCGCATCGAGCTCCTTCTTGGCGCCATTACCGTTGCTTCGCTCGACGACGGTCGGCACCGACGGCATCGTCGACGTTGACGTTGGCGTCGGCGTCGCCGAGCCCGCGAGGGGCGTCGTGGGCATCGCCGGTGTCGCTGTCGTCGACCGACTGCCGTTGCGCTTGGTTGTATGTTTCTTTTTCGACAAGAGCTCTTGGAGGCGCGAGAGCTCGGTGGTCTTCTTGGGCGCGTTGAGCTCTTTGATGCTGCCAATCGAGCGGCGCCGGCGGATCGTCTGCGTCGGCGGCATGTGCAACGACGACGTGGCGCTTGCGGTGGTCACGGCCACGGGCGCCGGCGACACAAGCGGCGAATCGATTGGCGCCGACGCAGCCAATGGCGACACGGCAGGCGACACGAGCGAGAGGGCGAGAGCGGTCTTGGCGTGGTCCGCAATGTAGTAGAGCTGGACGCGCGACGGGTCGCTGCTCTGGACGCGGAGCCGGAGCACGGCGCTCGTGATGTTTTCGAGCGTAAAGACCTTGATGCTCATCGAGTTGGCGGCCACGTGCTCGAAATTGAGAAACGCCGACTTGGACGGCGTGTGCAGCTTGTAAAAGAGCGAGTGGTAAATCACGTGGTGCGCGTCCATGTTGCTCGAGCGCACGCACACTTGGGCGACGTTGAGTTTGTTTTTGAGATTCACAGCGTTGACCACGCGCGTATAATTGGCGTTGACCTTGCGCGGAATGATCTCAATCTTCATCTCGAGCGACTGTTTCGGACCGAGCTGCATCTCGTCGTTCGGGACCGTCGAGACGACCTTCGAGACGACCGACGGCTTGACGACGGTCGGGAGCTCCGAGTGATTCGTGAGCGTACACGCACTCGACCGGAGCTCGCCAATGTTGCAGTCGCCAAAGTGCAGCACAGACGGCGTCATCGTGACATACGACGTACACGTCCGCGACCGCGCGTGGAGCGACTTGCCCAAACTGCGGTCGTACACGCGCTGGTTCGAGCCCGTCCACGCACCTTGGACTTGATAGCATCGAAACGAAAGCCGGAAGCTCTGCTTCGTGAGGCGGCAGCTCTTGACGTCAAACACGTCGGACGGCGTCGGCGTATACCACACGACGATCGTACGCTCGACACCAGGCGCGAGGTCGAGCGCCTCGACGAGGTAGTTGTTGACGTGATCATCGAGCGCGGGACGCACGCCCGTCTTGGTGCGCACAAGGCTCGACGACTTGCGCTCGGGCGACGAGCAGACACTGGCGCCACTGCTAATGCACAACATTATTTCTACACAAAACGAGACAAGACGACGCAGATACCTCTCAATCCCGCTTTCGGAGAGGTCCTTGACGCGCGAATGCACACGCATAAGCTTGCGCGACGAGCGTGCGCGCAGCGGCGCCTTGTTGGGCGCGTGGCCTTCGTCGTGCGTCTTGGGGCTGCTCGGGCTCGGCGGCGGCGCGGGCCGCTCGCCGTCAAACTCCATGTCGTCGTCCGCGTCTTCCATTTCGCTTAAAAGCGTGTCTTCAAACGAGTTGCGCTTGCGACTAAAGTTGAGGTCCTCGTCGTCGCCGTCGTTTTCGTCCGGCTCGTCGTCGCTGTCGCCGTTCTCGGTCTTGAAGAACACGCTGTTGGTCGGCGACGTGGCCGTCGGGGACAGCGAGAGGCGCGAGTCGGTCGGCGAGAGCGGCTCGTCAAAGCCCAGGCCTCGCATCGTCGACATGGACCGGGAGGACCGCGCACGGTTGTTGCCCACGAGCTTGAGCTCAAACGTGACCTCCTTCGGCCGGTCGCTCGAGAGCTCGATATGGAGCGGCGCTTCCGTCATGTTCTTGACGAGCACGATCTTGGGGGTTGGCATGCCCGTGTAGCAGTCCCCAAAGTCCATGAGACTCCCACTCATCAAGAAGGACCCGTTCGGCTCCCGGATCGAGAGACCCTCGCTAGACATCGAGCATCAGACGACAAAAGATGCACAGGATTTCTGAACCGGTGGTGCTCCTTGGACGCGATGGCGTGCACCTTGAGCGTCTTGACGTTGCGCGAGTCGTGGAGGTTTTGCACGAGGATCTCAAAACTATGCTCGCCGACCTAGAAACAGTGTTTCCAGATACAGAGAACAAGTAGTGTAAGGCAAGTACCTCGACGGGGCGGTACGTCACACGCACGCGCATGTGCCCGTACGCGGCGACTTGGAACGGGTTCTCGCCCATCGCATAGCCCGAATTGTAGTCGGAGCACGTCAGCATGGCCTTTTGGTCGTCGGGAATCGACGACATCATGCGAAAGACGAGCGGGATCTCGGACCGGTTCCAGACCGTAAAGTCCTTGACGTACGACCCGCCGGGGATGCAGTCGTCAAAGTGGAGCTCCTTCACGTCGAGGCGCAGCAGCGATCGACAGACATTGCCCTGGATCGGGATCGTGATCGCGTCGAGCGCACCAACTGGCGACGTCGGCGACCGATCGGGCGACACGATGGTCGTCGAAAAGATGAGCCGCCCCGAGAGCGCCGCGAACGAGCTCTCGTTCAAGTAGAGACGCTCTTCGTCAGACGAGTCGTCGCCAGCATTTGCTTTGGACGTCAAACCTGTTGACGGCTTGGCTGCGGTACCAGACGCTTCGTGCTTGACGCAGATCGAGAAGACGAGCCGCTGCGCTTGGTTGGGCTGCAAAACGATCGAGTCGATGAGCCCCATTTGGTTGAAAAGCTCGTTAAAGCCTTCGTCGAGAAAGACCGTGTCGGCAAGCGACGACGAGAATGACGACTTGGACATGCTTCGGACGAGATGCGACTCTTCGACGCCGTCGTCGTCCGGGAGGTTCTCGTTCTGCGTCTGGAAGCCCCACGTGCTGGCATGGAACGGCTTGCGCAGCTCCGCCTTCAGGTCCACGCGCACCGGGAACGGCTGCAGGTTGATGAGTTCAAACTGGCGCAAGCTCGAGAGGTCCGAGAGGTACACGTCGCCAAAGCCAAAGAGGTTGGCCGGGTCCATGGCCGACGAGGCCAGCGCGCGGATGCCCAGCGCCGGCCGCCCCATGAGCAGCTTCGGTCGGCCGCTTGCCGTCGGGCTCGGTACCCCCTTCTCGCTCGAGCTGCCCTCGCCGTCGCTTCCCTTGCGCCGGAACCCGCGCCGCTTCTTCGATGGCATCGATGATCAAGGGACCCCGAAAGCTCTCTCCTCGGCGATGATTTCAGCCAATTAGATGCGCGGATTCCCAGTCAGTGGTCGCACCTTGCATCGTCGCATTGCATATCCTGTCACATTAGATACATTACCTCTGACACATTATACCATCAACACTATTTAAGGGCGTGTCCACACCGTGCGCACGTGCCGTGGCCGCACGTTGCAAGCTTTGAGCCAACTGCCTCTTCAATGGCACCGAAAGGGACACCGTTGTGTCGTATACCGTTCTATATAAAAGGGCATGTCCTAGGCCAAGCCCGATTGAGATCCATCGAGTATTCCACCAGAGTCACTTCAATTTCACACTATTTCATACAGTTTGCTGCTTGGGTGCGTGGATCGCGACCTGCCATCGAAGTCTCGCGAAGGCGGCTTGCCCACGCCTCGTCGATCGCGTGTGCGTAATGCAGCCAGCGTCCAGCTCCTCACATGACAGTCCAGTGCCGGTACCAGTAAGAGTCTATTCGGTCCAAACGCGTCATACACTATTTCCATGTGTCGTTTCGAATTAATCTATATTTAACATGCATTTCATTCGCACTTTACTTGATGTTTGTATGTGAAATTTAAATTTCGCATAAAAGGCTGCTTCGAGCAAAGTGTACCCAGACCATGATGATGGCCCAAGTCGAGCTACCGACGACCAAGGTAGCGCCGACAAGCTTGGACCAGCCGCAGCCGGAGATCGACTCGTTCCATGTCTCGTCCTTCTCGGACAGTGACAGCTCCGTTGACGAGACCGAGGCCGAAGCCGATGCGCCACTGCTACCCGAGGCCAACGCGACCTGCCTCGCGGAGCAGCTATGGGAGCCGTTCCGCAGCCTTGTTATGGTGCGTTGCACGGACATTGGTCATGGCCTCTAAGCCTGGCTAGAACCCATTGACGACTCTTGTCGTATGCCTCTGCGTCAACGCGGCCTTCATCCTATCGTGGTACGCTTGGTCATGCCCGTGGCTCGTCTTGACGCATCAAGCCCACAGGATCTTCCTCGCCTGGCTCGCCCACTTGATCACGCGCCCAGGTACTGCGAGACGAAGCGTCTCTGTCGTCACGCGAGGCTAGGGCTGTTTCTCCTTGTCGTCGCCCTCGTTGTATGCATAGCTCGCCTGGCCGCGCTCGTGCTCTCGTATCCTGGCCACCTCCAAGTCGTCGCGCGCGACTGTGAGCGCAGCTTTGCGCTCATGATCAAAAAGTGGGTGCGTCTCACCGCCGAGACGACCGACGAGCTCATTCAGGTATCGTCTTGGCACCATTCTCGTATTCAACTGCGGTGACTAGCTGCTTCTGTCGCCCGAGCCCTGTACGCCCGAGACGACGACCGCCTTCCGCGAGGTCTACGCCTCGTTCGAGTCGTGCTTGACCAACATCATGGTCGTGCTCCAACGTTCGCTCGAGATTGTCGACGAGGTTCGAAGCATGACCACAAACATGTCCTTAACCAATTGCGCCAGGAAGAGACGCTGACGACCGATGGCAAGCGAGCGCTCGCTCACATTCGCGTCTATCTCGAATACGCGGAGAAGCTCCGCCCGTCCTTCGCCCAGCTAGCAGCCAATACGACGACCAACATGGAAGCGCTCCGTCAGCAGCTCGACTTGGATGTACGGTCTCTTAGCTCCGTGCCCATGTCAAGGCTGCTCTTAGAAAGCGCTGGTCGAATTTGGCCTGTGCGTCCAGGACCTCCGGGACATCATCGAGTGCGTTGGGGAGCCACCGGGTACACCGGTACGCTCTCGCGTCGCCTATCGAAGAGGCTACCGACACACTGCTATGCATGTAGAAGCGGTCGGGGCTCTGGGGGCTCCTCTGCGAGCTCGTGCTCGCGCGGCTGCGACCGCTGCGTATTGTCGCAAGCCTGAGCCTCATGCGTGCCGACCTGAGAGCGCGCCACGTACGACTGACTTGCGGCGTCGCACTCTGATGCGCTCGCAATAGAACGGGACGCAAGTATGGGTCCCTGGCTACGAACGCAACATGATCGACGGCATGTTCATTCCTGGGCTTGGCCTCCCGATGCAGAACGCGGAGCGCACTGTGATCCTCTGCAACCCTAACTGCGGCTTGTATGAGTTTCACCACTTTCAGTCGGACTGGATCCAGTTTTACACCAAGCTCGGCATCAACGTCTTCCTCTTCAACTACCGCGGCTACGGTACGCACGATGATTCGCCGGTGGATTTAGAGCGTGTATGCTAGGGCGCACAAAGGGGTATCCGTCGCCGCACGCCAACAACCTCGATGGCATGGCAGTCGCCGCGTACCTGCGCAACGAGCAGTCGATTCGGCGCCTCGCGATCCACGGCGAGTCGATCGGCGTACAGATATATAAATTGTGTTGCACGGTACGAGAAGAACTGTGTAGGGCATGGTCGCGACGCATGTGGCCAAGCACGCCGACGGCATTGAGCTCCTCATCGCCGACCGCACGTTCGCCAACCTCCCCGCCGTCGCCCAGCGTCTCGTCGGTACGGTCCATTGTGTCGTACCTTGGGTTGAACAAGAATCGGTGCAGCGTCGTGGGCTGGCCGGGCACTGAGCTGCGTCACGCGCTGGCAAACCGACAACGTCACCAACTACTTGGACGCCACATGCCACAAAGTTGTGTGCTGCGACCCGTGCGACGAGGTATACACGCAGCAGAGGCAGCAACATGATGTGGCAGTAGATTATCGCCGATGGCTCGTCGCTCAAGTCCGGCATTGCTCTACGTCTCGAGCTCGGCGACTTGCAGGCGCAGACACCAAAGGCGCACCCGGTACGACGCGCGACTCCAAGAAGCTTGGCCGCGTGTGGGCCTGTTCGCTACGATACCCTCGACGAGATATCGACCGACGTCGTCATTGGTAAGGGCTTTGGCCAGATCTGTACCAATGGACGTATCGACGCGCAGGCAAGCCGTTGACGGAAGCCATTGTGGCCAAGTTTGCATGGCACCTCTTGCGCATCGCTGAGCGCGCCAAAGACGCGATGGAGCTCGAGATGACCGATGCGACCGTCATCGACGTCGACGACGCGGCGCATGGGAAGGACGTCATTGCGCTCTGGAGTGCGATCGCATCCCTCGACGGCCACTGCGGCCAAACGCTCTTTTACGCTGCCGGTACGACGCCCGCGGTTGGATGATGCCAAGCATAAGATCTGGCGGTAGGCAGCGGCCTCGAGGGCATTCGCGCGTGGACCACGTCGTTCATTGTGTGGGGACCGTCGACGCGCCTTGCGACCGTGCCCGTCGCGCGCCGACCCCACGATTTTGTGACGCCACTCCCAATCGAACACGTCCGCGTCCTCCTGCAGCGGGTATATACTGTACCGTGTATATCGGTGACGACTCGCGTGCACGCACTCTAGGTACAAAGCTCGGCGGCGTGGCTCAGCACGGACGACGACGCGGGCTACGTTATGGACATGATTGAATACCTCTACGCATCCATGCAAGCCCGCAGCGCCAAGGCCATCGATGATGCGGTGCTTGGCGCGCTCGTGCCACTCAGCTGCGGCCACAACGCCAACTTTAGCGAGCAGGAAAAGCAAGCGCTTCTCGCGCACCTCGTCGCGTACAAGTGGGCTGACGCTGCCGTTGCCGAGGACGAGTGCAGCAAGTAAGTTAAAAACACACGTTGACGGCGCCACCTGGCAGCGACGAATGGGTGCGACCGCCTGCATGGCCTTGCCACCGCCTTGCCATAGAGCGTCATGGTCGTTCTATGCAGCGCCGAGGTGCATGCTGAGGCTTCGCCGCCTTTCCATCGCGAGAAGCAGGGCGACTGGTCAGACCGAGAATCTCAGTCCCCTCGTACTCGCCTTCTTCAAGCGGCCGCCGCTGCGCCGAGCGTGTGTGCCCGCGTTGGTCACGGCGCGGTATCGCATATCATTGGCCAAAAGTCATGGAATACGGACGAATCAGAGCGGTGGAGAGGAATTTACTTGGGCTTTGTATGATGGTCGGAGCCGATCAGCAAGTGGGCGCAAAATTTTCTCGGTGGCGACATTGCGTGCCATTCCGCAATTCCCACAGTCTCGATGAAGCTCACTGTACTCGCCACCCTCGCCGCCTGCGCCATGGCCGCCAACTCGACGACGACGGCGCCGCCCAAGGTCTCGGCCGCCTGCACGCAGACGCAGATCGCGGCCATCAACGCGCTCCAGGCCTCGGAGACGTACATGGCGTGCACGAACGATGCGCAAAAGACTATCTTCAACGGTACGCCCGACGATATTTGCGCCGTCCCGTCGTGCGTCGTCGCCGTCCAAAACTTGGTCGGCAAGTTCCCGAACTGCGTCTTTGACAGCAAGACGCCGATCACTGACATCCAGCCGTACATCAAGAAGTGCGGCGTCGACCCGAACCTCATTGTGACGACGGCGCCGGCCAAGTCGACGCGCCCGACGGCGACGCTTGCCAACTCCACGGACGGCAACGCCACGACGGTGCCCATTGTGACCATCGCCGACATCACGACCGCGCCGCGCACCAAGGTCGCTGCCGCGACCCCGACACCCGCGCCGTCGGCTGCGGTTGCCAACTCGGCCTCGCTCCTCGCGATCGGCTCGGCGGCCTTGGCCTACGCCTTGGCCTAGATGTGCTACCAAGCGGACGCTAGCTGCGTCGTCGGCTCCTCGTGTTGCGCGACGTACCGCCTCTCGGATTCGTAGTATATTTAACCAATTTTCCTCGATCCTCGAGTGACGTTTAGTTGAGAAGAGCCTTGCTCGCAGCAGATCGCATACTAGAACGACTGTCGCTACGTTGATCTACAGTAGGAGCGTCGACCTCTAACATTACTAGAAGCGACGATCGGCGGGCGGGAGAGGGCAGCCAGTTCACTGCACTACCACGTACAGAGCCTGTTCTAGCGAATATCACCATCGCGACAACCTTGGCGGCCAGGGTGCACGGTACTCTTCGCTTCGTCGTCAACCTCGGTCGAACGCGCCGATGCGAGCGCTATTAGGTAAGTCACCCAACACGGAGACCAAATGTCCAGCCTTCGTACGCAGCTACCAGACCCTACAGCTGACGTAGCCGAGCCTGCACACTCATTCGCCCAACCTCTCCGTACAGTACATATATTAGGACGTGATAGCGTCGAGCTCGCTTACGCGGTCGAAACGTTGGCCTGGAACTCGGCGATGCACGCGGCCATGAAGGCCGACGCGTCGTGCATGTGACGCAAGTTCGTCTCCCGAAGCTCGCTGCGGGCGTCGGGTGCCATGTCTTGGAAGACAACGTCGGGCACAAGCGGTGCTGTTGCGCCAGAGCTCTTGAGAGGCGCGCTGAGGTTCACGCCGTCACGTGGGATGAGAGCATGGGGCGTCCGTGACCGCGTGGCTCGGCGCGGTGGCGAGCCGGCCTTGATGGAGACGACTACGGCTATGTTACAAGAGGCCTAGTCCGGTGAACGTACCTCGCTTGGTCAAAGGTCTCTCGGTGGCGCCGGGTATCGCGTTTTGCACGTCTGCGAGATTCTTGTCAGAGTCAACTAGATGCACCGTGAGGCTGCTTCGTGGAATCGGTCGAGTACCATGGCGATCAAGAGCGGCAAGGGATGCTTGGACGTCCTTGGACGGCGACGAGAGCAATGCGCTCGTCGCTTTGGCGGGGGATGCCACCGGAGAGAGTGCGAGGGTCACTCCCATGCTCCGGGACGGGTTGATCATACACTCCTGGGGCGAGTGCACGGAAGGCTCCTCAGTAGGCGCTTCGACCGTCGAGGCGGCAGCCGGCTTGGCTTTTCTTGGTCGGCTGCGATTGCTCGAGTAGTCGATCGTCTTGCGCTTCTTGCCTTTTCCTTTCGCCTTCTCGGGTACTTTGTGCGTTGACTCTTGGATGAAGCTGTTGAAGCCCGTCAGGACGGACGCGTCGCCGCTCCAGATGGGCCGGTTTGGCACCAGCGGCTTGTCGGAGCGGCCTAGAAACACGAGGCGTCAGACGCCACATAGCCATACACAGTACGTACTTGAGAACGTTTGGAAAGGCGCGAGGTTGTCTAGCGTCAGCCATCGGTTGTAGCGCTCGTGGTAGCCCACGTAGTGGACCCGGACCGTGTCGGTCGTGCGGTTGATGTGCGTCACAACAGCCTCGCACCATGCGCTGCGCTCGTCCTACCCGCAGGCGTCGGCGGCGACGTCATAGCATGTCGATGTACCTTGGCGTCGACGTAGAAGCCGAGGTAGCGCTGCAGCCGGACCTCCGACTCGGTCATCGTCCTCCTTGTCAACGGCGGCCCAGGAAGGCGACGCGTGATTGGCCCGTTGTCTGCCCGCCAAAATAGCCGGCGCATGATTGGTGCATTCTTCCATCCGGATATATGGCCCCGTCTAACGAGTTGCGCCAGCAGCGCGTCGTTGAGGACTACGTAGGTCATGGACGAAGCCAAAGCCACGGCGGCGCTGCCGAGATGCTGGCGTTGGTTGTCGACGCATGGCTCTTGGCAATCAATCAAGAAACGGTTGCGTGCTCGCCGACCATCTCCGATGCTACACACCAGGATGGTCTATAATCACGCAACTTAATTTCCTGCCAAGGTCACGAACTCGCTGCTGCATGGCTGCTGTCGAGCCCGCTTCTACTAGCAAAGTAGCAAGCTAGCTATACGCAGGTACTAGAGCAGCAACGTACTTGTGCTTGACGAGGCGATGTGATGCCACCCTTGGGATTGCAGCGGTTCGACATCGCGTGTCTAGCGTGGTATCCGGCGATACATCCGGATACAATCGAACGAAGATTCGACAAATCGAAGTGAGCGATGCGGCACCAGCACCAGCGCGGAGGGCTGCGCCAGCTCATTGCGGCCAAGTACGTCTACCTGCTCCTCGTTGCCTGCGCGATCTGCGTCTTTGGCCTCCTCTTTGAGATCTCGCAGCTCTCGTCCGCCTTCCAGGGTGAACCCAGCAAGCTCCACGCCGCTGACCACGCGCTCCCGGCCGCGTCGCGCTCGTCGCTCAAGAAAGTCGCACCGCAAATCGACCACGCGATTGCTGTGATCATGACCAATTACCGCGATTCTGAGCAGTGCGTGGCCACGCTCACGTCGCTCTACGAGATGGCGGATGCACCGCACGGTCTGCACCTCGTGCTCTTTGAAGAGATTGACGCGACGAGCGGCGACCCGAACGACGCAAGCTGCTTCGAGACGTTCTGTGCTGCGTCGCGTGATATCTGCGCCGAGCACCGCGGCCGTATCGACCACAAGTTCCGGCACGCAAACGACCACGTGGGCCCGAGCCCGGCGCGGGCCCTCGCCGAGGCCATGGTTCCGTCGAATTGGTTGACAGCGCCAAAGAACAAGTACTATCTCTCGATCGACTCGCGCCTCGAGTTTGTCGACAAGTGGGACACGCTGTTGCTCACCGAGTGGCGCCGGGCGCAGAACCCCCATGGCATCCTCAGCATCGCGCCGCCCGCGCTCGTATCCAAAGCGTGGCCCATCGATCGCACGCAGCGCGCACTCATGTGCACTGCGCGTGTGTGGACCAAAGACGCGGCGCTGGCGGCTGTAGATTTCAACCCGCCCGTGCTCGTCAAGCCGCCGTTCACCGAGCCACGCCTCAGCGCCCAGTACGCCGAAAGCTTCCATTTCGGGCCGATCCACGCGCTGTCGGCGGCGCCCGCCGACGCCAAAGCCCTCTACGTATGGCACGGCGACGCGTACCATCGAGCGACGCGGTGGTGGACGTCGGGCTATGATTTCTACGCCCCGTCCATCGAGATCGCATATGCCAAGTACATGCCTCGGGTGCTGCACCCGCTGCAGCTGGTGCAATGGGACGTCAAGTCGCCGGATCCGCTCGCCGCCATGAAAACCACGCAGCGCCAAAGCTACGCGCACCTGCAAGCGCTGTACACGGGCGCCAACGTCGGGACCAAGCGCTCGTTCAAGCAGTGGGTCGCGTTCAGCCACGTATACCCGACAGCCGCGTACGACATGTCGACAGACAAGCAGTTTATGGCGTGCAATCCGCTCTCGTATGTCCCGCCTCGCAGCTGAACATGAACAACTAGACACGATTACTACGGGGTGACATGCTTTTGCGACCTCTTATTTGCGCTGCAGTTGTCGTTGCAGCGCGTCGAGCTTGGTGTCGGACCACGGGGTGCCGACTTCGCTGTCGGGCTGCGGTAGCTTGGGTATTTCAAAGGCCACGGACCGCTTGATCGGTGTCGTACTTGCTGTGCTGCGCGGGACATCGTCGTTGTTGGAGCCGAGCAGCTTCGAGTCCGAGGCGCTGTGGGGACTCGAGAGCAGCTGCATCTTTTTGCTATACAAATCGCCACGTCGCATCGAAAATACAACGATAGAAATAATGAAGCACGTACATGGGCTTGAGCACATACGTGTCGGTCGGGAGCTGGCCCGTGTCGAGCGCCATTTGCCACTTGCAGCGCAGTACGCTAAGTTCGTGGCTGAGCTTTTTGACCTCCTTCTGCGACGTCGTCCGCGTCCAATCGAGTTTGTTGCGGAGCTCAATGTACTTTTCATCCATGAGCCGCAGTTGGTCTTCGAGGATCTTGCTGCCTTGCTGCAGCTCGCCCATGGTTTTGTCTTTGGCTGCCATCTTCTTGGTCAGCTGGGCCACGCTCTCGACGAGGTCGCGCCGCTCGCTCTCGAGCGACCGGACGCTCTCGAGTGCCTTCGTTTTGGCCGCCGCCTCGTGCTTGAGGTGGATCATGAGCTTCTCTATGTGCTCGGAGAGGGCGACGATCTTCTCGTTGGCTTCGACCCGCGCTTCGTCCGACTTGCTACGGAGCTCCTTCTCTGTCCGCTGACGACCCGCGAGCTCGGCGGTCTTTTCTTTTAGCGCCTTGACGTCGTCCATGGCGCCTACTGCGGCCTGGAGCTCCTTCTCGAGCTCGGACGAGCGCTCGACGAGCCGCTTGTTGCGGCTGCGGAGAAGTCGCATTTCACGCTCGAGTTTACTCAAGCTGCTCAAGCCCAAGTCGGCGTTGACTTCGCTCGGCGCCTCCGACTCGTCGAGGAGACTTTGGCACTCGGCTTCGTTCTTGAGGCGAAGCCGCACGAGCTCGTCGAGCCGGACGTGCTGGTACAAGGACACGTCAACGTTGGGGCCCGCAATGCCGCGAAGAAGGAGCACACGCGCGTCCGACACGTCCTTCTTGGCGACAAGCAGCGCCGTCTTGCATTTATTCAGCGCCTCCGAGACCGACAAGAGCTTCTCGCCCTGCGCGACGAGCGCCGTCGATTTCTCAAACAGCTCGTTCTGGAGCTCTTGGAGCGTCTCGCCAAGCCCTTTCGTATCGTGCTTCTTCCACGTCTCAATTTCGCCGTTGAGCGCGCTGTTTTGAGTTTGGAGTGACGCCACGGACGCTTCGACCGCGGCGATCTGCGCGTTGGCGTCGACCAGCGCCTGTTCGTGCTCGGCGCGCAAGGACGCAAGGCGTTCGTCTCGCTCGGCTAGCTCGCTGCGCAAGTTGGCACTGCTCGAATCCATCGTCGACTGCGCTTCGGCCCACTGCGCTTCGAGCTCGTTGGCGCGCGTGACAGCCACCGTGAGCTCGAGCTGGTATGTTGTCTCGGCGATGCCACCGCGCTCGATGTTCTCGTCGAGCGTCTTGATGTGTGTTTGGAGCTCGAGGATGTACGCATCTAGCTGCGCCGTGTGCTCTTGGGCGGCGAGAAGCTGGCTCGAGACTGCGTTGTACTGCTCTAACGTCTGCTGTTCGTTGGCTTGGGATGTGGCGAGCGCCAACTCGAGCGCGTCCTTGTCTTGCTGCAAGGTCGTTGTCGCAGCGAGGAGCTCGTCGGCGCGGGCGACGGCGGTCGCGGCCTCGGCGTCGGCCTGCGCCCGGAAGCGCTTCTCCATCTCAATTGCGGTTTGCATCTGCGCCTTGTCGGCGGCCGTGCGCTTATTGAGGTTCTCGATATCACGGCGGAGGTCCTCGACCTGCGTCTCGAGCTCCTTCTGTCGGTTCGCCGGCGGCATCGCGGCCCGACGCTGGTTTCGACCTCCGCAGCTAAAATTAGTGCAGACGCTCAACCCTACCCCCGACTACGCGTGTCGCACCGCGGGTATTCCACTTATGTAGCACTTCACAAGCCTGCGCTGCAAACCTTTGGTAAGATTTAGGGAGAGCACGCCAAAATCATATATTAATGCGGTGGGTTAGTGCTTGGGCGTCGGGCGCTTGGTTTGCTTGATTCCGGACAAGAGGCTCACACGGCGCAGAAGCTGAAGGCTGAGCCAGCGTGATTGCCTACGCTCGGTTAGCTTCCAATGACACTGCACCCAAGCACACCGGAAGAGCGGCAGCTTGATCGAGCCGACCGATTCGCCCGTCGGCGGATCCGATGTGATGGCCAACAGCAAAAACTAGGTAGTCATGAGCAGCCATCTAAGATCGTGCCGCGTACGACGGGGAAGAAGACGGCGAAGAGGCCTTTGCTGATGAAGTTGGGTGCGAAAAACGTCGCGAGTGTAAACGGGCAGCCAAACCCAGCAAAGTACGCCCTGCGAGAACAAATCACGCAACTTCGTCGAATACAATGCGCCGTACCAGTGCTGCTCCATGATGGCGAGGCGCTTCTCGAGACCCCAGCCGTGCAGCGACCACTTGTACTCGAAGCAGTAGAGTGCGTAGAGCCAGCTGAGGTAGACGAAGCTCAAGAACGGACCCACGACAGGCACAAAGTAGCTCAGCATCGTTTGGCCAAGAAAGAACGCGACGAGGATCGCTCGGTAGAGCTCGTCGCTGCGGCATCTTCGATGAGCCAAGTCAATCTAAGTGATGCGTACCGGATCATTTCCCGCACGGCGGTCGGCCGTGGTTGACCATGATGCAAGAGGTAGGCTATCGAAAGCATGAGCATTTCGGCATCGAGGAGAGTACCACCATCGTCGGCAATGTCTTGGTACCAAATCGTGTTGAGGATGAAGCTAATGCAGTAGATCGGGTACATCCACAAGCCCTAGTAGTCACGTCACAAAACGTGGCAAAGTACACGCGTATGTACCTGGTAGAGGACAAAGACGACCGAGTCGATCCACTCGCGGTAGTAGTCGGACGCAATGTCCGTCGCGTGTTGCGAGAGTGACGCCGAGAGCACGTCACCAAACAAGTGAATCACAGGCAGGACCACGAACTCGAAGAAGAAGATACTGCCGAGGAAGAGGAGCCCATTGAGACCCAAGCACTTGGCCGAGCACTTTCGAATGATGGGCGAGTTCCAGAAGAGCGTTGTGATTCGATGCAGCGAGATCGCGTCCTGGATGCCGGCGCAGAACGACGTGTACACATCCTGGACCACCTCCATTGCGCAAATCCTGTTCTCGTTCTCGCGTCCGGATACCGTGCCACCGGGTTTTCTCCGGGATTCAAATAGTGTATAGGTGCTGTGCTGCGTGTCTCCGTCGCGTGCACGTTGCGCTCGTATGCCGTGCCATCTTGCTTGCCATCGCTTCCATTTGAAACAGCGCTACGCACAGGCATTCGTTGCTATGATGCAGCGCCATGCTCTCTTGTCCGTGCATCTGGTCGTCAACAGTATATGCAGTATAACACTATATAAATTTGGCGTCTCTTGAAGATTCCGCCAACACAAAAAGGTCGCGCGAAAATGGCCCACGAGCCATACACGGTGTCCAAGATGCTCGACTCGATCAACGAGTCGATGCAGCACGTCGGTGGCAAAGTCCAATTGAAGCGTGACGTCGGCAACGGCATTGCGCTCGACACGTGCGCGTCACGCCTTCCAATCGTGTCACTCACTCGGAACTAGATCCGACAAGGAAATCGCGTATCTCGACACACAGTCCAAGATCAAGTCGTCGGCCGAGCGCGCCGCACAGCTGACGCGGGAAGGCAAAGTCGCGTGGATCGCGGCCCATCGAGAGAAAGGCAACGAGCTCTTTCGTGCGGGGGCGTACGCCGAGGCCAGCGACGCCTACCTCCAAGCGCTCGCGGGCCTCGACTTTGGTGCGGACAAGCACAAGGTGCAAGCGACCATACAAAACCCCATCACGTGCAACGTCGTTGCGTGCATGCTCAAGCTCGAGGTACGCACTCGTGCATCGATGTTCGCCGGCTACTGCTATCGCTAGCAATGGGGCAAAGCCGCTCAAATGTGCAACCTCGTGCTACAGTCGGAGCCGACCAACATGAAGGCGACGCGCCAGCGCGCCAAGGCGTTGATGCACCTGGAGCGCTTTGCTGAGGCACGGTAGTACACGGACAAGCTGCGGTCTTTTCAAACACTAAACCCAACATTGACGTAGCGCCGACTTGACAACGGCAACCGAGTACGCCAGCAGCGAGAGCGAGCGACTCGAACTGCAGCGCCAGTCCGCCGCCATTGACCGCTCGGAGCTACTGTGGAAGCACCAGCGCTCGAGTCAGCGGCAGTTTGAGAAGAACATGATGAAGCGTGTCGGTAGCTTGTACGACGACAAGAAGACGGTGGCCGTGGCACGTCCGGCCCCGGCAGCGTCGACATATCAGCGCGTGTGGCGCTACATGTGCCAGCTACTTCTTTGGTGTGCCCAAAAGCGCAAAGTCGCCTAATAATCCAAATACACTGTATGAATACACTGTGAACCAGCGTTGAGTGCACATTTAGGTTGGTTGTGGCGTAACGCACGATCGTCCTATTTCAAAATGGGGCTTGAGGTCAAGCCGTCCCATGCCTCGATCGCGGAGCGCCGGCAGCTGCGCAAGCATGCGCAGCCCGAGCATCAGTACACGGGGTAGGCACTTGAAGTTTCGAATTCGGTCCCATCCGGTACTATCGGCTTGACGGGTAGGTACGTGCCGCCCGACCCGCGCGACGCTGACGTGGCACCGGCTCCGGTGCGGGGCAAGATCAAGCGCGCAATCGTGGGCTATCAAGGTACAGCTGTGGGCGGAAGTGATTGTGCCAACGGTGGGATTCTAGGGCACCGCCACAACCGCGAAGATATGATTGGTGTCACGTTCACAAAGGGCCTGGAAATGTGCACACCGGCGACTGCGCGCAAATTGCATCCGAAGAAACGATGCGGAGAGAAGGAAGGCTCGGGGTACGGTCAGTTTGACGAGATTAGCGGCTACGGCGAGTTCCAAGCACCGCCGTCGCAGCACTCGATCGACGTCACAGCGGTGGACGCCCGCATACCGTCGAGCAAGCCAATGGATCTGAGCAGTGAGTCCAAGAAACCGCTTGCAAAGTCTATGCAAGGACCAGCCGAGAGCGCTTCTAAGACCGCCAAGGACAAGAGGCAGCACGCTGCACCATCCGGCAAGACAAACCAATCAGGCTACGGG